TGTCGTTTCTGACAATGACATCACATTTCTGGCCACTGAACTGTACATTAAGCCTACCAACTCGGGCATAGTGCTTCATTTCTCTTCAGCTCATCCGTCCTCGACCAAAATTAGCATGGCTAGGAACCAGTTTAGAAGGGCCATAACAGTATCGTCGAATAAGGACAGGGAAGAAAAGAGCGTGACAAAAATGTGGAATCTCCTTTCTAGCAACGGGTACCCTGAAAACGTGCTTAGGAGAACTCTAAGGGAAGCGAAAGCTGACACTAAACGGGGTTCTACAAAAGAGGATGTAGATGGCTTCTTGACTCTACCATATGTGGACGAGAAATTATTGAGCCGGGTGAAAGGTGTGGTGCGCAGGTCGGGAATGAACATCCGACTTGCTTGGCGAAACAAAAACAAACTGAAAAACGCGCTAGTCAGGTCAGCCTTCTCACCTCCTCTCTGTCCGGGTGCCAGTCGCGGGTGCTACTGCTGTAAGTGTGGCTTAGCAGGGAGATGCACGACCAAAAATGTGGTTTACAGGATCACGTGTACTCTCTGCAAGGAACAGCCGGCGGTGTATGTGGGAGAGAGCAAACGTCCTGTCAGACTGCGTTTTACCGAGCATGTGAGGAACATGCTGAGTGCGACTCCCGACACCCCCCTCGGAGACCACTTTAGAGTGGCTCACGGTCAGCTGTCATTAGACAGAGGGGCGGATCTACCACTTACGGTGGAGATACTGCACCAGGCTCTGGACTACCCAGACAGAAAGATATCAGAGTCCATCACTATCAGAGATTCGGAGCCCTCCCTGAACGAACGTCTTGTGTCTTGGCCTATCATATAAGTGTGTAAGATAGCGTATGCAGCGTGTGAATTCGAGTCATCGATCGTATCGAATATTCAAAAAGTGTTATGATGAGTTATATGTCCTGATTTTGTCTCGTTTTTTATCGCTCGTTTTATGTATGTGTGTTCGGTACATCGGAAACATCTTAGCATAACCAAGGATGTTCTTCCATTGAAGTCTTATGTAAACAAATACCGCGAGATGAATTTCGAAATATGAAAATAGGCTGCCGTCTGTCTGCTGTAACCGTTTTTGTCTTCTACATTGTTCTTCTTTCGTTTGATAATGGTCTGTTGGCCGAAATATCACGTAAATAAAAAGGTGATTTTTCATTAATTTTGCTATAGATTCGAGGAAAAAGGTCAATGTTTTTCTTTCATATAATTGTACGAAAGACTACGCTTGCTTCGCTCGCTACGTAATAATTTCTTCAGACTAACAATGCCTCAGCCATATTGGCACGCTACTGGCTGAAAATAAGTTGCTTAAAAAGACCCACTGAATCGCCACGATTTTAAGTGCATGTCATCTCTATGTATATAAGATCTCTATGACCTTGAGGTCATGCTGCTAGGATGCATAGCTTTTAAGTTATTGAGAAAAATGTTGTTTTTCGTCAAACCGATCTAATATAAGAGGTCTACGGGTGATTCAATTACGGCGCCTTTCTTGCATGATTAGTTTCTATTTTGCACTTAACTGTGAAGAACAAAGTTATAAACTTAGTTATAGTCACACTTTAGGAAAGGCAAGGTTTTCCAATGTTGGGCTGTTTGACATATACGTCATGATAATGACAGAATTTAGATTTGGGGCAAGACGGACCACTGTGGTCCATCTTACCCTGTGGTGGTCCATTGTACCCTGCATATGGAAAGTTCTTTTCCAAAAAATTGACACAAGTTTAAGTAAGCTAATTTTTCAGGAAGGAGTCTTTGTTGCATGTGAGCCATGCATGCAAGTGCTCAGTTAGCATGCATTCATGCCAAACGACAATCAACACACATGTTCCCAGCTTTTAGCTGCACTTCCATCACACATGAGTAAAGAATAAAGGCTCATTTTGTTATTTTACCATTCTGGTTACTTTTTCTTACAAGAGTACAGAGCAGAAGTGTAACACACATGAACGGATAGCAGGCACTGCTGGGTGGTCCGTCTTACCCCGCGTTTTTTCTTGTCTGAGTTTTTGACATGTCCCTCTTTAAGAGCATCCACCACCTAGATGTCTTTAAGTTGAAATTTAGTCTTTACACATATCAACAGAGGAAGGATTGAGCATTCCGAAGACTATAAATAATATGAATCACGAGAGCAGTGTAGCAAGATATGTGGCCTCAAACCTTAGCTGGTCCGTCTTACCCCACCTTCCCCTACAAATTTGACATTCCTTTCAAAGCCGTCACCATACGTCATTGGCGAGTCAGCGCGAATCATCGAGCCTCCCCCACCACAGGCACGAGCGGGCCTCAACACAGGCATTTACCGCAGGGTCATATACACTATACAGTGATGTGTATGCCTGCAGTGCCGACTCAAATGCCAACATAAATCACTAGTTCAATGGCGGTAAGGGGGTAATTGGCAGTTACTGATGGCTGTACCTTGGCAAATTAGCAGCGCCCATGAAAATTACGAGGGCCGACCGGATTGTTTGTCCTCATGAAACTTTCGCGCCACTGAAAGTATAATGAACTTGAATGAGCTATAACTAATAAGTCGAGATTTTGGTAACAAATAGACACCCATAGATCAACTGAGTAGCTAAAGGATCAGAAATCGACTAAAAAATCACGCAAATGACCCCAAATACACCATAAATCAATCAACGCATCAACCACAAATGTCCCGCATGATATGGCATATTTGGCTACCCTCCCGTCATCAAAATAGCACGGCTAGCGTTAAGGGTCATCCCTCTCCTTCCCGAGGGGAAACACGAGTGGAGAAATGCGTCTGATTGGCAGGTAACAATTGGCGAAAGGCCGATGATTGACAACTCAGCGGCAGGTCTGGTACTGAACAGGTGAGTGCTAAACAGAGAGCCTGTCTGTGCCGATACGGCCGTTTGAAGTACGCCACTCGACAGGTATGCTTATAAAAGCTGCCGACAGACGCGTAAAACATCGGCGTATGACATCAAATATCATTAATTTGATTATCATTAATTTTTTTTTGCTATTTGATAATAATTAGATTTTTGTTAAAACAGACACCTTGAATGTAAGAGCGAGTTATTCTACAAACTAGCGAACAAAAATTAGGTGAATTAATGCACAAAAGAGTTCGACTGGCAAACCTGAAAATAACGTGTACAAACTTTGAATAAACTAGGACAAAACAATGTCGACATATTTTGAATGAACTAGGACGATTATAAAAAATTGATATGTGCATGAAACACACGCACAACTCGGGTCGGTCAGAATAGTTCGGCAACTGAAAAAGTGCCCCAGAACCAGACCGAGAGCGATCGATTGCGCAGTCAACACTGGCTGACAACAGGACACCTTGTTGATTGAGGCGAAAGTGCTATTTATATTTGCCACTAAAACTTCTTTTTCCATGGATTTAAAAATATTCACCCCGCATACTTTTTGCCAACATCATGTGTTTAGCAATTACATATAACCTCACACTTACTGTTTACTCCAGACCGAAATACTTATTTAAATTTAGCTTCCAGAGTGCAAAAACTATCGTACAAGATGCAGAAACCCTAGGTTATTACCAAGCAAGTTGGACGGCATATAGGTAGCAGTTTACCTTAAGACAAAGTCACAAAATAATGCATTGTTTACAAATGCTGATCACAGATGTCCGTGGGTCACAAGAGAATAATAAATTTGTACACCAGTCCGCTGCTCGCCTACGCAACATTTTCCATTGGAGCCTGACAGCGGTCACCGGCAATGTCGTGCATCCCGCGGAGAAATGTGACTTTGTGCACCGCGAATGGCGCACTAACTTACCATTCGTAATAGCACTTAACGTGTGACAACCAACGGTAGCGAGAACCCGCCTGTTCTGCATGTGTTTCACACCGGGTTCACGTGATTCATTCAAATCGTGATGCAACCGGCCGAAGCCCTGCCAAATTTAGATTCCCCATGACGAAACCAGACAACACCGTCGCATGACGGCGGCAGGCTTCTGGATCATCACGCGACGAACTCAGGTGTGAGCTGAGCATTTTAGATCCCCAGCTGATCGAAGCGGGTTTTAACTGGTTTCGCGCCCTGTCTGGGGGTTCCCCGCCCATGGTGGCCCGGGGCCGGGACGAGAAGCCTCGTGCCGCGCCCGAGCGGCGGCGGCGGGCCGAACCGGAAACAGGCAGTTTCCGGCCCACCTGGCGTGGATCCCGCCCCTGTTGGAAAGCCACCGGGGTCCGGAATCCGCACCGATCGCCGCCTCACCTCCCCCTAGACACCGCGCGGCCGCTCGGCTGTGCCAGGCTACAAGCCAAGCGCCGCCATTTGGCTAGCGGGACTCCCGGCCGCCCGCGGCTGGAGCACGGGCCGGGCGGGGTTACACGGGCCGTGACCACCAGGTGACCCCTGGGAGACTGCAAGGTCATGGACGAGGGCTGACCCGCCCATGACACCCCGGTCCTTCGACAGAAGCCCTGACGCTATTTTCGGCAATCAATAGAGAGCCGGTGGGTTTTTGTGGGCGGCTGTCGGGAGCCGCGGCGGCGGGCCCCGCGGCCGGCCGCCCGCAGTCTGTTTCTAGCAAACAACCGACGCAATTTCAAACTGGCACATGTCCCTGCAGAGGCCGTCCCATAGCAGTGCGGACCCGCTGCCCGGCCGCCGGTGGCGCTCAAAGGCGGACGGACCATCTGCCGCGAGCGCCAGGTGCTGTCGGCGAACGCGGCTCGGAACGCGCCGCGGCCATCTTGTCACCGTCGGCGCCCGGTTCAGGGTCAATTTCAACGGCGATCTACGTCCCATCTGGTGGATGTTTTGGCATAAATGGATGCTAAATGCAGAGTTTATACTTATGCTGTTCTAAAAACAACAGTCTGATAGGTGGTTGTCGATGGATGAGTCAGATATTGATCGTGGAAAAACCCGACCGTTACGGGGACGCAGAACACGGGGGCCCCACCGGCCCAACAATCGCGCAGGATTTTACAGGCATAAGTAGGCCTTCTACTCACCTTTTAGTAATTTCAAAAGATGACGCACACCAAATAACTTGCTTTTATAATAAACCAACACCACTTCTCCTTCACATCACTGAAAAATCTCACGATAACTGGCACTACGCCTCCCCACGGCCACTCTCGCTGCAAAACATGGCGCCCGCCGGGAGCCGTTCGCGCCCGGTAGTAACGGCTCTCCCCGCCTGGCGGCGCCACCTCCCTAAAGAGGCATTTGACAAGGGGGATCGTTATTGGTTTTAATGTCTATGTAAGGACAATTTATGATGTCTCTTACCTCGAAAATTGAAAAACTCAGCACTAGAAATTTATAGCAGCTGTCTTTTGGGATATACTGTAAGAAAACTTCGAAAAATAATATGAACCATCGCGAGCTCGGACGACACTAACAGCTGTTGTGTTCTAACAAGCGTTGTGATTGGTGAACAGCGTTTGGTTACAAAGGTGTCATTGGCTTATTTCCTGTCGAGGGGCCGCCGGCGAAAACGGCTATTGATTTACCGAGTGGCGGCGCTAATAGTCGTCGGGGGCGATGCAGAGGATTTTTCCAGCCCATGCGCGGCTGACTTACCGATAGAGTAATAACGGGCTGGCGCCGCGAGTCGGGCGCAATTATTTACCCGGCGCCCTGGGGAGGGTAGCCGCGGGCCGGCCGCCGCTGCGGTGGGCGCAGATGACATGCCGAGATGGAAGATCCGCAGGGGCGTAGCCAGGGCGTCCAGGATGGGGTGCGGCCGGGGGGAGGGGGGGGGGGGGGTGATGATCGAGCGGTGCGGTACTCGGCATAATATTTACATAGATACATGAGGGTAATTAACGGCAGATAACTAGCGACGATTTAATGTCCACACAAAAAACTGAGGTCAAATATCAGGTCAACTTAGGTCAAGTAGGCGATGCATAACATTGACCTCCGATAACGGATGGAGGCCTCATTTTTTCGAAGTGGTTTAACCGTAAACAGGCGTGATATGACGTGTCCGAGTCCGCGGTCTGTTCCCTGTTGGCCTCAGGGCCGCTGTATTTGTCGTTCTTGACGGCGCACTCCGCAGGGCCTCGTCTTTCATGTTAACGGGCTGGCGGGGGCGGGGGGGGGGGGGGACAGCGAACATTCAGAATGGCTCCAACTCCTGACACAAAATAAAGAGAAAACGTAAGCCCTCGCGCACTGCTTTCTAATGTAGATCTAAAGCTTCGGAATAACAAGGGCAAAAAAGAGCGTACAGTGACGCCCACATGATAAAAGAGATGATAACCTTTGACGATCTCAGCTGTTGCGAAAAATGCTCACAACGACGTTTTTCCGAAAACCGACATCACATGCGCTACACAAAAAAAGCCTTCGCCGATCCATCAATCAAATTTCACCCAAAAGACGAGTTCAAAGATGAGTTCAACGAGTTGATAAGCTATTTACCGACACCTAACAACTCCGGCGTTCCTACGGGTAGTGAAGACACAAGAGACAACACACAAGAGTACGTACATTCCACACACTAATTGACATTATTTTATATATTTACAATTATTCTCGTCAAGGCTAGATTAACACCTCATAACGGATGCGCCGCGGCGGCCTAACGTTAAATAACGCAAACAACATAAATAGAACGACCGCGGCAGTCGTCCCCGCCGATTTACCCCGAAAAATCGACAGAATTCCCCAGTCTCCCGATCACCCTATGTCCCGTAAACCAGTGCTGCGCGGCGTGGCCCACAGTGCACGGAGGAATGGAGTGCATCCACGCATCGGCCCGCGAAATCCGTGCTCCGAAAACCCCCGGCGTAACGTACACCCGTAGGCAGCAAGAGGAGACACACAGGCACACACGGACAGACAGACACACACACAGTTACACCGCGTGATAGTATCACAGACGCGGCGGGAGGCGTCAGACCGGCTAGTACCGGCCGGAGAGCGGTAAAACAAAACACAGGACGCTCGGGACGCAGAGTCCTGACCGACTGGAGCGTAGTCCGAGCCGATTAGAGCCGAGAGTCCCAGCCGTTAAGGGCGAGGATTCCAGGCCATTCCGAGCTAAGAGTCCGGGGCAGTTCACTGTTCACAATACGCCGGGCTCTCCATAGCATTAAACGGTCCAGGTCCTTCATAGCTCACAGTAACGGGTCTGTGGCTCACAGTAGGAGCTCTCCATAGCTCCCAGACGCTCCAGGCTCACAGTATAGGCTCTCAATAGCTTTAGAGTCTGGGGTCTCCGTGGCTAACAATGCATGCTCTCCATGGCTCATAGTCCGAGCCGTTCATAGCTCAGAGTCCGACCGAACTACGAGCGGATCTCACGGAACTCACGGGAGTTCCGTGAACTCACGGGGCCACAGTTCGGGTCTGCTTCTAGCCGACGCTAAAGAGCGTTTATAGTTCACACTCCCCGTCTGCTTGGTGCTCGTAGCTCAGCACCAGAGTCCACTTGTAGCTCAGAGTGCGAGTGTGAGAGAGGCTATAGTGGCCGTGGTCCATCCCACTAATCATCAGCAATAGAAGTCTAGCTGGCATCCCAGCGCCTCGTGAATATAGTCCACCCAAGCAGCAAGAGACAGAAGCTACACCAGCCTCGGCGGACGGTCTCAGCTTTTTAACAACACTCAACTAGCGTCCCTCGATCAGTTCGTGTCACTTCTCACCACAAACTCTTCCCTGAAGAGCTAATGTGACCGACTCGTCTCTCACAAGCACACGAATACTCGCTGGTGAAGGGTCGACGCCACGATCGAGGCGGTGCTGAATTTTCATCACACAACACAACTCGCCGATATAACTTCACTGATAGACGGTCGGCCGAATCACCGTGTGGCTTTCCTGCCTTTTTCGTCTGGTAGGTGTACGAATACTAAGACGTCGTCGGTAAACTAGTCGATCTTGACGGTGCTGTAGATCTTGTGGACAAAGTAGCTGGTTCCCAGGTAGCCGATGGTACCGCACATGATGCCTAGCACGGTGCTGAAGAGGCCCATGTAGCTGAAGTAGAAGGCCGTCTGGAAGAAGCCGTACATCCTGCGGGGGGGGGGGGGGCGATAAAGTGTCAGGTATGTGATACGTCAAATTCTGTAACTTCATCACTTTGCGCAGTTACACTGACGTAAATTAGTTACACTCCGGAGAGGTACCGTGTGTGAGACCGACTCAGAGCTGGAAAGGAATGTTTGCAACCAATCAGCGGATTTAGCGCAGCTTTATACATATTAGCCTTTCCATCAGCCTTTCGCATACAGCTCGCCACTGATAACTAAAAACGGTGGAAGATGACACAATTGGGGCCGAACAGAAGGCAGTCAACAATGTCCCCATATATTGCTATATCCCGAGGCATACAGATGATCCTATGAGCTCACTCACTTGGTCTTGAAGAAGAAGTAGTAGATGGAGTAGAGGTAGACGTAGCCGGCAGTGGAGCACCCGGCCAGGAAACTGGTCCATTGCCTGTCCGCGAACACACGTCGAGTTAGCTTACAGTGTTCCATACCGATTAATAGAGTCCGATATAGCTGGAGACTGCACAAAGCACAGACCTTATCAGCCATAGTGGATCCCGGCCATAACTAGTCTAATCAATCTGTCCAATAAAAAGATGGTCACAGTCAGCTAACACCGCGATACAGGGTCAATAGAGGATTATCAATAGACAGATGTGACATATTATAGTGCATGTATGACCTAAACTTTTGAATTCATTTTAAAAGGGGAAAAAACTCAAGAAATTACCCAACGTTTCGCATTTATTGCTTAGTCATGGGTCTTAGAGTGCGATTGTGATTGACAATCGCACTCTAAGACCCATGACTAAGCAATAAATGCGAAACGTTGGGTAATTTCTTGAGTTTTTTCCCCTTTTAAAATGAATTCAAAAGTTTAGGTCATACATGCACTATAATAGGGTCAATAGAGTTTTATATAGGTGGGTACTGGAATAACTGTTACGCTTATCCTCTTCAGGCTTCATGCATTGCTGATATTATCACGTATATCGTCACAACTTTCTTCCTATATCGTGATCATGTTCTATATGACCCATAAGCCGGTGTTCCTCCCCCGGTTCGTGTCCCTCTACCCTACACATTGGCCCTCTTAGCGCCCTCTGCCTTCGTCCGGCGTAATACTCCCGGTCCTATACCCAATACCCATGTGCTCTCTCTTCGTGCACAATTACTGTCAGGCATCCGCGCTTGGCATTCTCTGATTCACGTTACCGCATCGCTAGATGTCCGAGAAATCTACCTTGCATCCGCGACTCCGCAATAATCCGAATTCTCTACTTTTCCTGTCCTTACCTGCTACTACTTTGTATCTTTCACCTTACGAGTAACGCCTGCCCGCGATTATCCATAAACGTATCCGCACCATCCACTCCCGTTTTCGCATCCCTGAACCTCACGAAACTCGACCCTCTACTGAAAAAGTCGCACCATCTAACACCAGACCACCCTCCTCCTCAAACCTTTGTCTCTATCCTTCACCCTCTTTTCTCCATCTCCCTCTCTTTCCTCCCTCCCTGTTTTCTCCATCGTCCTCCCTTTCCTCCCTCACTGTTTTCTCCATCGTCCTCCCTTTCCTCCCTCACTGTTTTCTCCATCTCCCTCCCTTTCCTCCCTCACTGTTTTCTCCATCGTCCTCTCTTTCCTCCCTCCCTGTTTTCTCCATCGTCCTCCCTTTCCTCCCTCACTGTTTTCTCCATCTCCCTCCCTTTCCTCCCTCACTGTTTTCTCCATCGTCCTCCCTTTCCTCCCTCACTGTTTTCTCCATCTCCCTCCCTTTCCTCCCTCACTGTTTTCTCCATTGTCCTCCCTTTCTCTCCCTCACTGTTTTCTCTATCTTCCCCGTTCCTCCGCTCACCAGCGGTAGTCCTCTGCGTTCAGCAGGAAGTAGGTGCAGACGATGGTGACACACACCGATACCACGGAGAGAATCAGCAACACCAGCAGCATGAAGCCGTACACGTAGTAGATCTTGTACGCCCAGAACGACGTGAAGATAAAGTACCTGTGGAGAGCAGAAAAAATGGAATCGTGAGCAATGAATCTAATGGGAATCTTATGGGAATATGTGTGTTGGTGAATGAACGAATGAATGAATCCATGAATGAATGAATGAATGAATGAATGAATGAATGAATGAATGAATGAATGAATGAATGAATGAATGAATGAAAATTGATTGACAATGACACCTTGGAATTTAGACACGTAGAACCGCTAGTATCTTGCGCAAATCGGGACTGATGAATGAATGAATGAATGAATGAATGAATGAATGAGTAAATGAATGAATGAATGAGTGAGTGAATGAATGAATGAATGAAAGAAACGAACGGATGAATGAGCAAACAAACGACAATAAGCAATGGCGATGACACTTCCCATTCCGATTAAGGAATGTTGAGTGTTGAAGAACATGATCAGTGTTGTGGGCATGCTTTTACGTCCTCACTCCTCATACAACAGTGCATGAAGTGCGTGCGATACTCACATCTCGATGAAGATGCTGCCGAAGGGCAGGACTCCGCCCAGCGGGATGATGACCCACGGCTCCATGAACCACTTTTTCTCAGGGATCGGACGTGGCACCGCGTTCACACTGCAGGGACACATATGAGAGATGTCATATCGGTTAGAGCGTAAACAATGCATTGAACACGACATACGAATCAAATAATCAAGGCACATCGAGAGAAAGCGTAAGGCGCTAGCCGAGTACAGAATAAGAAAATTGTTAAAGCTATTATGACAATTACTTTTTATAGTGCCTTTCTGGCACAGAGACGGCCATTCGTAATTTACGCCTATAGACGTGCACGGCACCGTACAGTTTTGGCAAGCCTGTTTAATTCTAGTGTCCTGAGCCCAGTGCTGAGATCGGGGCATATATGTACTTACCGGCACGGGAAGTCGGCTTGTCCGTTCAGATTCCGTCCGAGGACAGTGCCCACCAGAGTCAGAGGCAGGATGACGAACAAACAGATACAGGCCACCGCCAGCTGCGAAAAAACACATACAAACATAGTGTCAGAGGCAGGATGACGAACAAGCAGATACAGGCCACTGCCAGCTGCAAACAAACAAACACATTGTCAGAGGCAGGATGACAAACAAACAGATACAGGCAACCCGGTCCGCCAGCTGTGAGCAAATATGTACATACAAACACGGTCGGAGGGATGACGAACAAACACAGACAAACACAGTCAGAGGAGGGGTGACAAACAAACAACTACAGGCCACCATCTGGGAACAAACACAAACAGCCATAGTCTCACTAGAGATAAAAATCATTGCAACTTGAAAAGTTATACTACATATACACTTAGGAGGTCACTATGGACAACCAGGGGGTAAGATTGACGAGCTAGTTACCATGGTGATCATTAGTGTAAGACTCGCTAGTTACCGTGGTGACGAAGTGTCTGACGCGCTAGTTACCATGGTGACGAAGAGAATGGCCCGGCTGGCGTGGTAGCTACTAGTTACCATGGTGACGAGGTGCCTCACGCGCTAGTTACCATGGTGACGAAGGGGATGGCCCGGCTGGCGTGGTAGCTACTAGTTACCATGGTGACGAGGTGCCTCACGCGCTAGTTACCATGGTGACGAAGGGAATGGCCCGGCTGGCGTGGTAGCTACTAGTTACCATGGTGACGAGGTGCCTCACGCGCTAGTTACCATGGTGACGAAGGGGATGGCCCGGCTGGCGTGGTAGCTACTAGTTACCATGGTGACGAGGTGCCTCACGCGCTAATTACCATGGTGACGAAGGGGATGGCCCGGCTGGCGTGGTAGCTACTAGTTACCATGGTGACGAGGTGCCTCACGCGCTAGTTACCATGGTGACGAAGGGGATGGCCCGGCTGGCGTGGTAGCTACTAGTTACCATGGTGACGAGGTGCCTCACGCGCTAGTTACCATGGTGACGAAGGGGATGGCCCGGCTGGCGTGGTAGCTACTAGTTACCATGGTGACGAGGTGCCTCACGCGCTAGTTACCATGGTGACGAAGGGGATGGCCCGGCTGGCGTGGTAGTAGAGGGCGATAAAGTTGACGAGGAAGGCGGTGCCGCAGACCAGGGTCGGCAGAAGAGCGGCCGATACCACCATCTGCCTGATCCACACCTGGGGAACAGGGGTGGCCAGGTGTCAGAACACGGCGGTGTCAGGACACGGGTGTCAGGGTGTCACCCGACCAAGACAGGGTCAGGGCAGGGCGATGTCAGAACAGGCGGTACATACGCCAGCCCAGGCAGCCGTTTGGGGTTGGACTCAAGAATATTACGAAAAGGAGGGCGACAGACAGAGCTCATTTTGTGAAAACCGCAAGAAACTTTTGAAAAAAAATCATTTGTTCGATTAGTATCCTCATATTTGTGGGCGTTTTCTTAAGTTTTGCCTTCGACACAGCTCCACACCCTGGCACAATGCAAACCGCAAACATCACAAACACAGAGCAACCCCTTGCCCTTCATTCCAGCCTCTGACCAGCCAGTGCAGAAGATTCTACACAGAAAAGTCTACCATGTAGTCCCTACATTGAAAGAAATCACAGGTTTTTAGTCCCTAGAGCCCTAGCACCCTTTCAGTCTCGTACCTTTCCGCCCATCCTGGCATAGAGCGCCCCGCCGAAGTAGCCGTTGACGGGACTGGTGGCGGCGTACACAAAGATGGCCGTACTGAGCAGGCTGCCCCGCTCCGTGTACAGTTCGCCGACGATGGCGATCAGCACTACGAACAGCACCACGGCGGCAACCTGGGGGATGGAGAAAGGGGTCGTCTCATCAGCTCAGTGGTCAGAACTCAGGACAGCACCACGGCGGTAACCTGGGGGGAGAGGGGTCGTCTCATCAGCTCATAGGAGTTGGAGCAGCACTACGAACAGCACCACGGCGGCAGCCTGGGGGGGGTCGTCTCATCAGCTCATAGGAGTTGGAGCAGCACTACAAACAGCAAGCACCACTGCGGCAACCTGGGGAGATGGGTCGTAGCGTCAGCTCAGTACAACAAACAGCACGACGGCCGGCAACCTGGGGGGAGAGGGGGGGTCGTCTCATCAGTTAGTCGGAGTTGGAGCAACACAACAGATAGCACAACGGCGGCAGGCTTGAGGGAAAGGGTTCGTATCATCAGCCCAACACAACGAACAGTACGACAGCGACAGCCCGGGAAGCGTGAAAAAGTTTTAGGCCATCTTTGATGAAGCTGGATGATTCATCTAAATGGCATATCAATTTCAAGAAAACCTGAACGAAGTTTACATGACCTTTTATAACGACTAGCGACGACCAATGTGTGCAGTAATGTGAATGAGAAAAAAATCGGTTCTAGATCTATGTAATCCATCAGAAAAATCGATTTACTTCAATATCTTACAGTAGGTACAGTTCCAGCTGCATTGCCTACTACACTCTGGACAACTGTGTACGCACCTGACATCCAGTGCCGACCAGCGCTGAGAACAGCATGGGGTAGCTGGCCGGCCGGAACACGTCTCCGTGAACCTGTTTCCAGCCGTACTCGTCTCCCAGGTCCCGCTCCTGTCGACGGAGAGGAGGGAGGGTCAGAGTCAGATCAGTGCCTGATAGAGTTAGACGAGATGGATAGCGGATAGCAGAGGGTCAGACAATTCAACTACAACTACAGGGTTCAACTACAGGGTTAACTACAGGGTCAGACTACATTCAACGCATAGGGCCAGAAGAAGTACAGCGCACACTGGGCCGATCGCCAGGTCTAGCACGACATGGGTAAAAAAATCGAACTTTGTGGATGTGCAATGAAACCTATACCAATTTGCTCAAAAATGATCATACTACATTGCTGTGGTCTTTGTTTTCCAACACAATTGCTATTTCATGGCGAAAACTCAGCCTAAACACGAACTTCGGAATCGTTTGGACCGAACTCGTCCCCCGCACTCTTCGACAACGTATCTTTGATCCACGAAAGCTATCACAATTTGAGGAGGAATTCCACATTTATATACATCAAACGATAGCTCCAGGTCTGCAGAACACACATAACCACATGAAAATGGCGAACTCTTACTTGGTTATGATGTATTGGCACCGCAAAGATTTACAGACGAAAATATAATTTCACATAATTGATGTCACACACAAATAGACTTTTAAAAAAAGTACCGCAGAGTACCGCTTCGAAAATCTCGCTACATGTCAATGAGTCATTGCACTACAAGATCCAACAGTCATTTTTTGCGACTTTTTGCGACTTTGGGTGTAGCAGCCAAACATCAACCCGCGCCGGACCGGTGCTCGGCGTCAAACGCGCCGGGCCGGGAGGTGTTGATTGAACACTCCCCTTTTAACTCGACTCTTGGGCCACATAGCGACACGTAGTAAGTGGCATTCGAAAGAGCGCCCGAAATTCCAGATGGAGTAATTAGTCATTTCTAGGTCAGGTCAAAAGTCACGTCACCAGAGGTCATCAAAGGTAAAATGTTGCATATATCAACATTTCTCGAAAACCGGCCCTTACCTCGGGGACCAATAGAGCTACATCGTCGCGGAAAAGTGCATTCAATTGCTCTTTTAGCGGTCTTTCTGAAATAAGCCCTCAGATTTGGCTTAACCCTCGCCCCTAGTGGTGTTTTTCCAGCCGCGAACGTATAGAAGGGGTCCGTTGGACCCCCCCCCCCCGCCGTTTCGCCCCTGATCGAGCTAGAGCTTCGCGGAAAAGACGAGCGTGTTGCCCGTGACAAGAGGAAGCTGATGATACCCAATTGTAAGGTCCTAGGTCATCAGTTGACCTTCCAGGTCAGGTCAATGACCCATAAGTCGGGAAAATCGGGACCTGTTAGAACGTTCGTTCATTGGGGTTTACGGGCGCGTCGACTGCGGTGGTCATTTTGCGCCCATAACGCTGTACTAGTAAAGCGGATATGTCAACACAGAACTGACGAACTGAAGAAGACTAGAACTACTTGAGATACGTTATACTAGTAAAACGAGTATATCACAGGAAAACTGATGGATTGAATATAAGAAAAGATGCTGCCGGATAAAACCCAGGGTGAGTCATCACCCAGCAGGTGGCGAATGGTGGTGCCTGGGGCAATGCGGCCGAGGCAGCGTGTCCGGTTTGGTTCGAGGTGCGGGCAACTTAAGAGAATGTGAGTGACTGTGAGCGGCACGGCACAATGGCTACATGTTGGTTGAGCATCTCCACGGAGGAGATAGCCATGCGTTGCATACGTATGCCCTATCCGTAGTCTGCAGAGGACCACTTCATGGTGTCTTTTGTCTTGAAAGCAGGACTGCCAGGGCTCCAGAGTAGGTTTCACCTTTCGTAGCTTCTCGGATCCATGGAGACGCCACTCTGTCTGCCAGCTAAACGTCGTAAAAGATCGAACGGCTGGGTAAAAATCGCGAGCCGGCAGAGGCAAACGACGGAGGCAGGGGGCCGCGGCCGCGCGTCTTGCGGCCGCGTCGGCAAGCTCGTTGCCTCTTATGCCCACATGGCTCGGTATCCAGCAGAACTGGATGAATTTACCTGCTCGTTCCACCGACGTAAGACGAGATAAAATGTCTTGTACTATCGGGTTGTCTGGATTAAAACTCCGTAAAGATAAGAGGCTGCTGAGGGAGTCTGACAAGATCAGATAGCAGGAGCTGTCAGACACCTCGATAAAACACAAAGCCTTCTCAATTGCAACGAGCTCGGAAGAAAAAACAGAGGCAGAAGTTGGCAAAGAGAATGTGCGTGTGTCATGACCAGTCACAAAAGCGCAGCCGACACCATGTTCTGTTTTCGAGCCGTCTGTAAAAACCCACGTAAAACCATCATATGAGGCAATGTGTTCCAGCGCCCGTGCTCGTAGTGTGCATGGCGGCTGATCGTCCTTCCTGATGTCTGTCAGTAAAAGATCGATTCGTGGATACGCATTTCTCCAGGGCGGCGAGGGCGCGCTCCACGTGCGCCTCACGCCGCGAAGAGAAATGTTCGCTTTTGAGAAGAGAGCTTGCATACGTCCACCGAAGGAAGTCGATCGACCAGCCACTCTGTCAGACCGACTGATCTCTCGCGAGAAGACATACGGGTATGCCGGGTGCGAGGGAAATTGACGAAGTTTTAAAACATACCGCATGCCCAACATCTGGCGACGGAGAGCTAACGGTGGCTCGTGAGCCTCAGCCAGAACGCTGCTTGTTGGCGAAGTACGGAAAGCACCCGTAGCAACGCGAAGTGAGGCATGGTGAATGGTGTCAAGCATTTTCTTACGCGACTCGCTGGCGCTGTCATAAATGAAACTTGCGTAGTCGAGCTTTGAACGTACCAGAGAGCGGTAGAGTAAAAGCAAGGTTCGTCGGTCAGCTCCATACGACGTACGTGATACACATTTTAAAATATTTAGAGTTTTAAAACATCTCTCACGAAGAGCTTTAAAATGCTCGTTGTACGTCAGACGTCTGTCCAAAACAACACCAAGAAACTTTGCAACCGGCTGCGTGGGGATATTTCGCCCGTAGAGGCGGATTCCAAGATCAGGATCGTGGCAGCGGCGGCGGCAAAAGTGAACAGCCACAGTCTTTGAAGTTGAGAACTTAAGGCCATTATCCTTGCTCCACTTTTCTAAACGCGTCACAGCAAGCTGAAGTTGTCGTGACGTGTGCCGCGCACTTGAGGCGGAGAACCATACTGCCAAATCGTCGACAAAAAGGGATCTCCCTATAGCCGTTGGGAGTCTGTCGCCAATGTCGTTAATCATGATAGCAAAAAGTGCCACACTCAAGACGCCTCCCTGTGGAATACCATTCTCCTGAAGGTGGGAGCTGGACAAGTGGTTTCCAACCCTGACACGAAAGGTGCGATAAGATAAAAAGTTGCAAATGAAAAAGCCCATACAGCCACGGATACCATAGCTGAGAAGCTTCCTCAAGATGATCTGCCGTAAAACTGTGTCGTAAGCAGCCTCAATATCAAAAAAGATAGCCCCAAGGTGTTTCTTTTCGGTAAAAGCGGTCCTCACTTCGGCGTCAAGAGCTAAGATATGGTCAACTGAACTGCGGTGTTTCCTGAAACCACACTGCGCGTCCGTAAAAATGTCGTTATGTTCCAGAAACCAACTCAAGCGAGCATTCACCATCTTCTCCATCAAGTCGTAAAGGGTGGCTGCTATGGTTTTTTGGGTGCTGATCACGAATATAATGTTATTTACGATCATAGATGATGTCTTCGTACATTTAGACCAGGTCGGGTCAGGTCAGGTCAGGTCAACCAGTAAGGGTTTTGCCGGGTATTTGCAGTAGGTGGCAACCGCCTCTGACAGCTTTGTAACATGTTACGAATGCACCAAAGCTACATAGTAAATGTTCAAATGGTTGCTAGATTCGAATTCAGCTCCAAAAACTAGCCTAGAAACATGTAAAACTCGAAAAAGTGAACCAAGGTCATCAAAGGTCAATGACCTTACCTGACCTTCTGGTGACCTTGACACCCACCCTCATGCATGGGAGCAACATAATATCCCATGTTTGAACGCTTTAAACCAAGAAAAGACTGCAAACCCGTGGCTGATGCGAGCCGACATACGCCGAATCGCGATTCCGGCCAAACATGGTCTCGAAAGAAGGTCACAGGTCAAAGATCATTAAGGTCAGGGTCATGAAATTTTCAGGTTAGCTGTAAAAGTAGTTATCGCGAGGGTACTGAAAGTTTCGTTGCGATCGGCCGCTTTTTACGCGAATTACTCGCGAAAAACCAAGGGTTCCGTTCGAAGATTCAGGCCCTGTCGCGCTAGAATGGCATATCGGCCCACTGTGCAGCGGAGGGAGGGTCAGGTAGGATAATTAAGACTGATAAAGGATTAGGTGGGTACAACGGATAGATCATACGGTACAGCAGTGTTAGCGGAGGTACAGCGGAGAGAGGGTCAGACAATAAAGCGCATGAAGAGTCAGAGGGCGACACAAAATATGCGTAAAGATACGCACAGAACGCACCACAGCGTTGTCTTCAGTTACCTCATAATTCATATATTGTCATTTTCCTACAGCGACTGTAATGCAATGACATTCGCTCTCCATATTCCCCCAGTGACTGCAATAATACCCCCATCCTTTTCCAGTTATTGCCACTCTTTCCTCGAACCCTTACCACATCGTCCATCTCTTCGTCCTTGCTGTAGCGCTGGTAGTCCTTCTTCAGCGTCCTCATCAGGATCATCGACACCAACCCCACCAGGAAGATGACCATCATGAAGCTGTTGAAGATGCTGAACCAGTGGATCTGAGGGCGGGGGTGAGATGTCAGCAACGGGAGAGTCATGCAAGTCATTAGCTGGGGAGGGGGCGGAGATAAGGCGTCAGTCCTTAGAGGGAAGAAGCAAGACATCCGCAGGAATGATACATAGGTGAAACAAACCGAGATGACCGACCCCAACACATACCAATGCCAGTGTATGTTTCAATGGGCATTGGGCAGTCATACGGGCGGCTATATTGAAAATTGCGCATTGCCCCTCTTTCATGAGTCTCAATATTTCCTCGGCTAATATTTAACGCAATGAAGTCACAATTGTCACCTGTCGGAATGCTCTACAAACACAACTCTCCGGCGCTGCGGTCTTCATATCTCATAAAGCAAAACCTAGGTGTGTGAATCCTTCCTGGTTTTCTTTATCATTTGTTCATCATAAGCCCAGTAGTGTCCATCCTATACGCTGCAACATTCTCAGCAAGGCTCATGTTGAGTCAATGACCCCGCCGGTGACAGTGCTGTCAGCAACCACTGCTCAGTGGCTGCTGAGTACTCACCCTGTGCTGGAAGAAGCTGGGGTCCAGGTACTTGTCAAAGCGGTCCTCGAACTTGACCGGCGACTTCTTCCACACCACCTCGTACGTCAGCGGGATCTTGGCGCCCACATGCAGCTTGAACTGGAACAGCGAGAAGAGTACGGTTATGAGACAGCCGCGCAACTATCGGATTTGGAAGCCTCGTAAGGCCGAGCCCTGCTAAATAAATATATTGGAGGCGGAATCTCAATGGTGTCTGAACATGGATAGCTTGAGCTGTAACATGGAAAGGGATAGTTATTACAGGTATCCATTTCCAAGCTAATGGGGACTTTGATGCCATAATATACGAGTGTCTTGATCAGAAGCACGAGGGAATGAAAGAGTTATGAGGATGCCATGTTAGGGAATTTCGCTGCCGGATTACAGCCAGAGGCTGGTGTTACAGGACTAGGGAAAACGTTCACTGTAGCCGTGAATATTAGGGTGGTGCAATGTTCACGTCTCTAACCCTGAGTCTCGGAGGTAAAGTTACTCTATCTTGCCCGGGACTGTGGTGGTACCCGAGCCTTGCGTGCGTGTGCAACATTACCTTGACCTCGTGTGTAGCATTACCTTGGCCTCGGAGGTGAGGTTGACGTCGACGATGCTGCCGTCGTTGACACCGATGTCGAGCCGCTTGTGCGTCCACAGGTACTCGCCATCCTCGTCCGCCTGAAGGCGGGGGAGTCAGAGTCATCGGGTTTTGCCCTGAGAGCGAGGGAGTCAGAGTCATCGGTCATGTTCTGGAGGCGAGGGAGTCAGAGTCATCGCGTTATGCCCTGAGAGCGAGGGGAGTCAGAGTCATCGGTCATACCACCACGGGTCCCTGAGGAGAAGGGAGTCAGAGTCATCAGGTTATGCCCTGGGGGCGAGGGAGTCAGAGTCAATGGGTAATGCCCTGAGAGCGAGGGTGTCAAGAGTCATCGGTCATACCACGGGCTCCTGAGGACGATTGAGTCATAGCCATCGGTAATGCCCTGCAGGCGATGAAGTCAGAGTCATCGGTGATGCCTTGGAGGCAAGGTAGTCAGAGCCATAGCACGGGCTCCTGAGGTCCGAGGTGTCAAAGCCATATGTTATACTACGGTTTCTGGGGAAGAGACTAGCATCAGTCATTTCTGTCACACTACGGACCCGTGAGCAGACGAGCGTGTCATATTCATTGGCCACGCATTATTGTCCTTCCTGTCAAATAAGACGAATCGATTAACTTCGTTATCTCTCTATTGATTACATCTGTCATTGGAGCAATGCCCGTTGGTGAAGTGCAAATAAAATGAAATAAAGGAGATCAAAAATACAAGAATGTCTCATCAGAGCTGAGTACACAAAGGAATGCGGCTCTTGATTTACTAGCAAGTGGCGACAATGCAGCGCTACATGCCCCCGCCCCCGCGACGGCTGGGTCGTTACAGCGATCGATTGTTGCACTGGTTACCAGGGTACCCAGTCAGCTAGTGTACAAACTACAGATACAAGGTCAACAGACGACTTAACCAGCACATGCATAGGTACGGGTACAAACCTGTATCATGCCTGCCTACTCGTCTTATGCCAGTCTATCCGTCTCACACATTTACCCCTTACTCACACTGTGCGGATCTTCATATAGTTATTACGCATGCTTATGCATTCTGCACATACCACAGCTCATATCAAATCAAATATCCATCTTGAATACGGGTGTATTTAAATTTATAGAGCTGAAGCCTACACGTACTGACTACTGAGTGTGACGAAATGGACTGGTGTTGCCAACATAAAGCTGGCACTGGATAGTATAAAACAGGGACATGAGTAAAAACAAACAACACGCTGACGATTGATAGGAAGACTAAGCAATGACACGCGGGGCAGAATTAAAAGAAAGCTATCAAAGCACGCGACTGGACAAAAAATAAACTGATTGAAAAAAGATGATGAGTGAGTGAGTGAGTGAGTGAGTGAGTGAGTGAGTGAGTGAGTGAGTGAGTGAGTGAGTGAGTGAGTGAGTGAGTGAGTGAGTGAGTGAGTGAGTGAGTGAGTGAGTGAGTGAGTGAGTGAGAGAGAGAGAGAGAGAGAGAGAGAGAGAGAGAGAGAGAGAGAGAGAGAGAGAGAGAGAGAGAGAGAGAGAGAGAGAGAGAGAGAGAGAGAGAGAGAGAGAGAGAGAGAGAGAGAGAGAGAGAGAGAGAGAGAGTCAGATATTTGTGACTGACTCCTCCAATAATCCCCCCAGGTCCGCCACCCCCCACCCCCCAAGATTCGCACCACTGACCTCTCCAATGATGCCCCAGATGGGCAGATCATCGATGTACATCTGGTACCAGTAGTGGTTCAGTACCGCGTACCGGAACGCGGCCAGACCCTCCTCGTCCAGCTCTATCTGACAGTATGTCTCCTTGGGCTGGTTCACTGAAACACAAGTATCAGAGTGGTGAGTACATGTCCAGCTCTATCTGACAGTAAGTCTCCCTGGGCTGGTTCACTGTAAACAAACAAACAAGTCCCGGTGAGTACAAGTCCAGCTCTATTTGACAGTACGTCTCCTTCGGTTGGTTCACTGAAACACACACAAAGTACCGGGAAGTTTGGGTCCAGCTCTATCTGTACATCTACTTCGGCTGGTTCACTGAAACACACAAAAAGTACCCGTGAGTTTGGGTCCAGCTCTATCTGTACGTCTACTTCTGCTGGTTCACTGAATCAGACAAACAAGTAACGGACCGGTGATATTGTGTCCAGTTCCCATAGATCACGATAAAAAACTTAACTGTATCGGAGACGTGGCTTTCTGTCAAGCTCCACAAGTCTCGGTACCTCCTGTCCCAGTAATCTATCATCTTCTCTAGTGAGTCGGGGTCTCACACGATTTATTGCAACAAACTCAAACCACCAAAACGGAAAGCCTATATGAACGAAGTCCTTCATATGTTTGCTGAGTGCTGGCTGCCTGTGTTGAGTGCCGTGAATTCATCTGGGCAGAGGTATCGTTATGTCAGTTGAGGGGCAATTAATAAATTACTACTGACATCTACGCTAGGATGGCACCTAGTGCAGACAGCTATGCAGCGGATAACCGCAGCCGTAGCGAAGACAGCTGCGTTACTCGCAATCCTGGGTCCTCTCCATCACTCCGTAAAGCCCTGCGTCTTATACAGGTGGTCCGTTTGGCCCACAGCTGCTCCACACTAGCACTGTAACGCTGGCGAACAATGGAAGTCGGAGACAAGAGGTACAAGTGTTGCCTTGATGGAACTCCACTTCAGTGAGGTTTACGGATCCTAAGCATCGCAGGGATTACATGGTAGATGTTCCATGGCAGTGCACGGTTCTAAAATAAACAGGCGGAAAAACAAAGTCTACAAGAAAGCAATGCTACGAGTCTAGGACGGAGTCTAACTTCAAAGGATACAATCACAAATCAACTTTGATTACGCAATGCCTTCCAAACAGAGGGCTAAATAAGTAAATACTGTCTGACATTTTAATGGTATCAAAGAAAATAATTGAGCCATATTACTCACGTACCCCTCCCCCTAATACACAAACCCCATGCTATTTCCCAAACAACCACGCCCAGACGATCTGAGCTACGCTGAGTCACCATGCTGACGGGCGAGGTAGGGTAGGGCTGCTTGTCAAAGTTGTCTGTAGTATAAATAACCATGCGATGACTGATATCTCAGAATATGATGGCATGGGCATGGACGACTAGTGAACTGTAAATAGTACTGGCAGACTTGACGGTATTTACAATTTATACAAATGGCTGAATGCTGATGAAGTGGGGATGCGAGTGGGGCCATTAGCAGCAGGACGGCCTGGTTGGTAACTAAATATTTCAGCCGGATGGGTTGTGGGGTGCCTTGGACTTCTGTTAGTAGGTGTTGGTATTTCAATTTCATTATGATCTTGGTGTGGCTACCCTGGCCCACCGCCAACAGGCAGGTATTTCAATGACATGAAATGCCTATTAGCATTTGAGAATGATTATTCTAGTGACTGCCCTGGCACAATGCCAGTACCCACTGGTATTTCAGTATGATGTATGGATCGACCGCTTACACCACCCCACACATGACCAGGGGTCATCTGGTCATCGTCCCTGTCATGTTTATACAGAGATCGTTCCATGCTCGCGCCACGTGGGTCACGGATATCTCCAAGACACCGACCAATCAGAGAGGAGGGGGCGGGGCAGGGGTCAGCTCACCGACGCTACCGCCCACTAGAGTCTGTTTCACATCGACCATCGTGGAAGCAGCACCACTGCAGCCGCCGCCCACACCAAGCCAAAGCCGCCAGAGTTACTACCGCCGATAGGACGCAAAGCCGGAGCCGCTACCGCCGACAGGACCACAAGGAGGGATAGAAATGGCAGCCCCGGCAGCTCAAAACGCGTCTCAGCAATTTCTGGATGACAACCAGTACACCCGTAACAATATTCTGCGATATGAGAAGATCTTTGGAGAGACTTTCGTCAGTACGGGAGGACTGCAGACTACCCAGGTAAGGGGTCAGGGAGGTCACAAGAGGCCATGGGGTCAGGAGAGGTCATGGGTTGGGGTCAGAGGTTACCAAAGGTTACAAAGGTTAGGATAAAGACCATGGAGGTCAGAGAAGGCATAAAAACTGTGACATGTCTTTGCCGTTATAGCCCTTGTGGTGTCGTGGACAGCGACTTTAATTGACGTGTGTATCTACTCTATACGGCCCTTTATTGACCCACCAATGCCGTTGCAGACCGAGTCTCACTGTGGCCCGTATACCGTTCTGTCACGATGTACAATGTTACAACGTGCAAATTGCAGACCACGTGTCATTTTGCCGCTGCAGACTGTTCCACTGTAGATCCAGGGTCGTGTGTCATTATGAGTGAGTCACTGTAGTAGACACTAGACAGCGCATAACTTAGACCCGCAGAGTTGTGTGGTAATAAATCCGTTATTCATGCCTAGCTACAGTACCGCTATCTAATGTTTAACAACACCACTTTTTCCCGATGCACCGTGTCTCACTTCGAACCACCCCCCCTCCCACCCTCAGGAGTTTTGCGGCCGTTTGAATCTCTCACCGGGTCAGCGCGTGCTAGATGTGGGGGTCGGCACCGGAGGATCAGCGTTCTTCATGGCTCGTCAGTTCGGCTGTCACGTGACCGGCGTCGACCTCTCAAAGAACATGGTGGACATTGCAGAGGAGCGAAGACGCCAGCTGAGCCCGGAGGTGATAATGATCTCCCATGACCCTGTGATCTACCCGTGACCTAGTGCGAGTTAGAAGGGGTGAAACCAGCCTAGCTGATCCCTGGGGTAAACTCCCGTGACCCCATGACCTCCCTACGACCCCGCCAGATATCAAAGGGGTGGAGCCGAATCAACTGATCCCAAGGTCATCTCTTTTGACGCAGCGACCTCCCCCATGCGACCCCACCAGAGATCAAAGGGGTATAGAGGACCAAAATGACCCCAGATATGACCTACCGTGATCTCACGACCTCGAACAGATCAGCAGGTTGAGGTGTGGATACATTGACGGGAATGACGCGAGCCCAGCCAAGAGGTGACCTTTCGTGACCCCACTGCCCCTCTTTCTATCCCTACCCCCACTGACCTAATCTGCAGCGCCAGTCAGAGATCGGCGAAACTTTAGCTGCCAGTTGATCCCATATGTGACCTCTGGTGACCCCACGACCACTCTCCCATGCACCCCCTCAACCAACCAACCACCCCCACGCCAGTCCCGCCTAACGGCCTTTCTGTCAGGCAGCCACAGAGACCGACAGGGCTGGAGTGTGGGGCGGACATTTATCGTTGACAGTTAACATTTAATAGCGGTGAGCGCGGTGACAGCTCTAGCGACAGCAATAGTTAGGCAGTTGGCACTCAGTGACGTTAAACGGATCTCACGATTTTGCGAGCATGTGTTTTGAGATTGTGATCAGCTTGATATAGCAAAGTGGGCATGATGACTGAAATGAGGAATTGGCTAGGACTTACTAGGCGTAGCTTTTATGAATAATGTTTGGAAACGACCAACAAAAGGGAGCAATGTTTTTAGGAAGCCGTTGAGGTAAAAACATCGCAATCGAACCCCGCGTTCGAAGTCTCTCGGACGACGTAGAATCTTCGTCGTCCGAGAGACTCCGAACGCGGGGTGAGCAATCTCAGCACTATATAATGGTGACTAAATGATGCAACCACGCCGCTACCCTGCTAAATTACTTTATCACTTTATTACTTTATCATTACTTTATCACTAGAACTGTCGGTCGAGCCGTTGGGTATTGTCTCGCCATCAGAAATGTCGTCAGAGGCTGGGAACTCGCAGCTGGTTTCTAACGCATCATATCGCGGTTTATCTACATCTCTTTCGCTCGGGTCTACAGTTATTTGCGACGTTTCGTCATCCAAGTTGATTCTACCGCAAAGGTCTAATGCTGAGGCCTATCGTTATTCGTTGAAGTGTATGGTTGAGTTGAGGTCTATGATGATGATGTTGATGATGAGTTGGTTGGGGTTCGGGCGCAGGTGTGGAGGTCAATGGCGCCCAAAGCTGACTTCGATCAATGAGGCTGATGTCTATCAATGGGACTGAGATCTATCAATGGGATTGGTGTCCATCAATAGGGTCCACTGCTAATGTCCATCGCTAAGTCCCTTGTTCACAGCCCGCAAAAAGTCAGCTAACACAGCTACCAACTAACCCTCCCCTCGCCCTCACGTCCACAGCTCCAGTCTCTACTCGAGTTCCAAGTGGGCGACGTCACCAAAGTCGACTACCCGGCCGGTTCATTTGACGTCGTCTACACCCGCGACACCGTGCTCCACATCGCCGACAAGGCAGCGCTGTATGCCAACTGCCTGCGGTGGCTGCGGCCGGCCGGTATACTGCTAGTTACGGACTACTGCCAGGGAGACAGGACGCTCAGCGAACAGTTTGTCAAGTACCGTGACCAGAGAGGTGAGAGCTGGGACTGGAAGGAATCTCATGGTAAAGTAGGTACAGGTAAAATAATCTCTTGTAAAACTCTTGTGTCTATCCACTGGGTTATATTAAAGGGACCCTCCCACCTTAACATTAGTTTTGAGTTGAGATAGCCAAATTGGTGGCCATGGCCTGAAAATACCGGTTTGGGCACTCACAACAGGGGCGTTCCACGACAAATCGACAAGTGCCCTGCACCCTCATGTTTTATTTTTTGCTTAGAATTGGTCTAATGGGTTGTGATGGGCGGGGAAGCCAGGTGTGGCAAGGATTTTTTTACGATATTTACGAATTTACGAATTTACGGCTTTTTACGATAAAAACTTTATATGGTTCAACTCACAATCAACCAACAAACATTTTGGCTATCTCGGATTTTCAATTTTTGAAAATTTTGATCACGTGACCTTTTGTCCTATTTTTCGAAGAGTGACCCTGATATTTTCCCCACTGAAAGTTGCAATTTTGTCTGATGACGATTTAAGCCTTATCAATTGTCATTCATATGCGTCAATAAAAAAAGTGGTTATCGCCCTGCGTTGACCTCAGGTCAGGTCATTTTTATGACCTGTCCATTATTACGAGCGGGAGCGACAGCGACATCTCGAGAATAAAGCAAGATAGCGACAAGCGATGAACGGTAAAGGGTACACACGGATAAGGTCTATAATTTTTACTGAGGTCATTTTCAGGTCAGGTCAAAGATGACGTCACAGGAGCCAAAAGGAAGTCAAAATAGCGGCACTATACATATACATATATATATGAAGTTTTTCTCGAATAACTTTCAAGGTATCCCAGCTAGGAACAAACTAATAGCACCATCGTGATCCTCTCGTCGATCCGCATCGAATCATATGTTTGTTGACCTCGAAAGGTCGAAAGGTCAAAAGTTATCCTTAGGTCACGTGATCTAAGGTCAACTTTTGACCTTTCGACCTTTTGAGGTCAACATACATATGTTTCGTTGCGGATCGACGAGAGGATCACGATGGTGCTATTAGTTTGTTCCAAGCTGGGATACCTTGAAAGTTATTCGAGAAAAACTTCATATATATGTATAGTGCCGCTATTTTGACTTCCTTTTAGCTCCTGTGACGTCATCTTTGACCTGACCTGAAAATGACCTCATTAAAAATTATAGAACTTATCCGTGTGTACCCTTTACCGTTTACCGCTTGTCGCTATCTTGCTTTATTCTCGAGATCTCGCTGTCGCTCCCGCTCGTAATAATGGACAGGTCATAAAAATGACCTGACCTGAGGTCAACGCAGGGCGATAACCACTTTTTTACTATCGCATATGAATGAAAATCGATAAGGCTGTAATCGTCATCAGACAAAATTGCAACATTCAGTGGGGAAAATATCAAGGTCACTCTTCGAAAAATAGGACAAAAGGTCACGTGATCAAAATTTTCAAAAATTGAGAATCCGAGATAGCCAAAATGTTTGTTGGTTGATTGTGAGTTGAACCATATAAAGTTTTTATCGTAAAATACAATAGTTTCTGAGTTATAGGCCGCCAAACATAGGGCTGCAGCGCGAAATCCAGGAATTGCCCGAGGCTATATCTCGGAAACCGTTGTTCGAAGAAAAAAATCCTTGCCACAGCTGGCTTCCCCGCCCATCGCAACCCCTTACACCAGTTTTCAACGAAGAATAAAATATGAGGGTGCAAATTTAATTTTTTATTTGTCGATTTGTCGTGGAACGCCCCAACATCGAAAAATGCTTTAATTCGGAGATATGGAATTTCAAACTTGCAGTTTTCGGATTCTAAGGGGCTAATGCATTGGTATGCCCCCTTAGAATTTGTGACGTCAGCGGAGATCTAACGATTTTTAAATCTTTTACTAAAACGTTTGGTAGCACGCGGTGGTATATGCTGCTTTGCGCGCAACAAATGCCGCACTTTCAAATAAAGTCGCTAGGAACAGCGGAGATCCCAAAAAGTAAACAATTGTAAAAGTTTAATATCTTGAAAACCGGTGAATATTTTTCGATGAAATTTGGTAGATATTCGTTTTCGCTCTTTCTGAACCGAGCGACATCACTTTCATGCCAATTCATTAACATTTTTGAAGGTGGGAGGGTCCCTTTAATGGGTCTTTGGTAGCGTCTTTTGGCGGGATTTATCAGTTTGGTCTATCGATGGATCTTTTACTGGGTCCCTTGTAGTTGCTGGGGTCTGTCGTAAGTGTATCAGTGGAGCTACTGCTTGGAGCGCTACGGATCTGGATTTTCATTGCCTATGCTTTTTCTTTAACCCTCGCCGGCCGAGGGGGGGGACGGGTGCCGCCCCCCCCCCATAGGGTTTTTTCGCGATAGCTCCGAACACGCTGGCGATAGAGAGCTGAAACTTGGCATACCTGACCTTTGATCCAAGCCGCATCTTTTGACACCAACCGCATTTTTGGGTCAGGTCAGGTCACTGACCTATGACGTCATAAGTGAACCTCTGCACGGTCTTCAGATGTCGTAACTTCGCAACGCCGTCACTGCCAGAGGAGATGTCACAGGGAAATGAAACTTGCAGGATCTAGTATCCATTATGAGTCCCACAACTTGTATATCTCGGATTTTTCCTAAAGGTCATATGAGGTCAGGTCATTTTCGTGACCTCACCATTATAAGTCAATGGGGAAAAATGAAAACTGCTATTCTGGCGCCGGGAACGATCTCCAACTATCTCAAGCACACAGAATCGTGATTTGATGCACTCCTTGCAAGGTTAGATGCGTCACTTTTGCAATGTTGACCTTGCGTGACGTCATTTATGACGTCATCAAGGTCATATTATTGTTTCGTCAATAACTCTTGATCAAATTGAGCTAGCGAGTCGGGAAAGCCACCAATGGACTCAGGAAGACCTGCCGAATCGAATGATATGCGACATGACCTCTTTCGACCAACTTCGTGACCTGGGGGTGCTGACCTGACCTTGACCTGAGGTCAACACCCCAAGTTGACCTGACCCGGACAAAAAGTATACCATTCGACGCGCCTGAGTGAGACGAACACGATGCTGCCAAAATCGGCGCTCTGCGGCCGTTTTTTGCGAAGTTATTCACCAAAAACTGAATCGTACCTTGGGGCACTTGACCTGACCTCAGAGGTCACCGGTTGACCTAGGACCTTAAAATCGGGTACCAATCTCTGCGTCTCGTAACGGCGCACACGCTCGTTTTTTCCGCGACGCGCTAGCTCCACCAGGGGCGAAACGGCGAGGGGGGGGGGGTCGTACCCGCCCCCCCCCTCGGCCGGCGCGTATGTAGAAAACCAATAGGTCCGGCGAGGGTTAAATCGCGGACGGAACGTCACATTTATCTAAAATATTCGTTTGAATGTTGTATTATGTTGATGAAAATAGTCATTTCATGTGGTCACACATCGAATGGTCATGCTGCTATCCAAGCGCAAATAGGCTCTCGCTTCAAACTGATCCAACTCCCGCCTTAGCAAAGAAGATACTGAGCAATCAGCCACCTCAGTACGACAGTAACTACTTCACCGTCTGTTACAGGTTATCACCTTCTAACAGTGCCTCAGTACGGTGAGGTACTGCGGAAAGTCGGCTTCCAAGATGTCGAGGCAATAGACAACTCGGCCAGTTTCCTCGACATCCTACGAGCAGAACTCGACAAGTTTGTTCCGCAGAAGGAAGAGTTTGTAAAGGTCAGCCATAATTGAAGTTTGTTTTACAATCGGATGTGATTTGGGTCCTTTTGCTAGGATTTTCACGCAAAACATGCTTGTTTTATCATTTGTCACTGACCGTGCGTTATAACATTTCTTACATATCCAAAATGTGTGAAGTGTTAACTTTAATATCAGCGACGTCAAAATAGTGCGAATCAGCATGTATATTGTCTAAAAGCCAAGTCAAATATCGACCAGCACCTTAGTTGAGTTGTAAGCATTAATAACAGAAGCACAATTGACAGAGTGCACGCTGACCGTTGGCTGGTTGTGGCTGTGCCACCGCTCGTTGTCTCTGCATTAACTAGTGACGATGAACGCTGTGTGGACGGCATCCGACATGGCGCTGACCCGATGTTGATTTTGTTTCAGGAGTTCAGCCAGAAGGACTTTGACGATATAGTCTCCGGGTGGACGGCCAAAATCGAACGGGTCTCCGAGGGGAGTCAGACCTGGGGTCTGTTCGTGGCGCGAAAACCCAAGGATGAATAGGGATGGTGGAAATGTACACTGTTAACGAACTGTGTGAAACACGTTAGTCAGTGACCAGTGACGAAATACACTATGTACTGTTACCGTTCAATGTAAAGCACACTGTAAATAGCCGATGCAAAACATACGAGTCACTTGCCAGTGACTACTGGAACAATACTGTCAGTACGCTAACACTAAGCCCGCAAACGTCACTGACACTGACTGATGATGAAACACGCAATGTGTTACCGACCAGAGTAAAATACACTATGAAATGCTCTACTGGCACCGACCAAAACGAAAAGCAATGAAAGCTATAGACCAATGACGCACATGCACAACTACTTAACTGACAGTTAAAAAATAGCATTAATTGGAATACAAAGTCATCAAACAACCCGTGTACAGGCGACTGGGAAATATCCAAAGAAGCTGACAGAGACCGTTAAGTGACAGACACATACTGTGTGACCGGTGAACTAAACAAGACAGCCGAGTGGAGACAATTCCTACACATGATACTCCTCGAGTCTAATGAACAGTATAGGTACCCACCACCCGCTCCAGACCAACCTCTTCCCCTGTCCCTCACCCCGACATAACGCACCTCCAAACTGGATGTCCAGCCCGCTGAACTCCAGCTCGACGCCCTGCAGCGCCTCTCCGAGCGTCTCGTGGTAGTGGCTGATGCCCGCCTTGTTTCCGCGGCAGAAGGGCAGCGAGAAGTAGCTGTAGGTCTCCTGGCGGTTGTGGTACGGTCCGACCGTGTTCATCCACAACACCACCTCCTCGTTAGCTGAGTACTGAAACGTGTGGGTGATAGAGGTGAATGAAACATGCTCTTGAACACTGAAAACAGCATTGGGTAGGTACAGGTCTCGCGGGTTTTAGCGGTAGGTTTAGCACCTAGAAAATTTAGCGTACTTTAGGCTATATCTTCGTCGTCTTAAGCTTTTAAGTGTTGAAGATGCGATCTACTTGTTGGTTTACAAGCCGGCCATGATCGTGTAAAATGGCTTCATCGTAGATCGATTAGTTTCTGAGATATAACCGGAAATGTAAAATGCAAAACCTACCGCTTAATCTAGCGAGAGCCGTACCTACCCAGGTAATAGGTATGTAATCAATGTCATTCAATCATCCAAAACTTAAAGGCCAAAACAGCTTTATGTTGGTGCCTTGGAGACAGGCAGAGAGCCCTAGTAAGATGACCAAGAATGAACATTACGCCCCCCTGTCAAATGACAAAAGACTGGAGACCACTCACATGCTGTCATGGGTCTACACCTTGTGGAACACGAGTTTTGACTAACAAAATTTCTCAGCAACAAGTTTTCATAGCTTAAATAATGGGTAGTCATAAAGCAGGCATCACACTTGCATTTTTGCAACCAAGGAGAGACACTTTACAAGGAGATGTACGTTGTAGGGCTGTAGGTTCGTATGTTGTAGGCTGTAGGTCATAGGTCGTAGGTTGTATGTTAGGTTGGGTTAGAACAGTAGGCCAGACTGGAAAACATCCATACACTACGCCGGATATCTGTGAGACTCTCTTGCGCCTAAATTCGGCGCAAGCGATTTTGCGCTGAAATTTCTGCATGATTGTGCCGAAAATTGGGTGCTTATTTGTGGCAAAATTATGCCGCTTTCATATAAAGCACATGTGCACATCTACCGATCAAGGCTATATCAACCAGACAGAGCGTTCCTGGGCCCTGGACGCTCTCCCATTTTGAGCTTGAACATCCGAATAAGCTTTTCATTTCCATAGAAACCCAATTTCTCAATACGCTTAGCGCACTGTAGCGTCGTGGGTGTCATGCCGTGAAAAAAGGGCCGGAGGTGGAAGCTCCGGGGCTACAAAAATCGGCGGAGCGGTGTGTCAGAGGCTGGCGGGGGCCAGCGAAGGCCAGGCAGCGGAGCAGCACGTGCTCTGGCATATCAACCTCTTCTCGGCACACGGCGCAAAGTGCCGCGGGGCACCGCTTGTCCGGGCACTGCTGGCTCGCCGCGGAGTGGAGACAGCCGATTCGGTGCTGTACTGGAGTGGGCGGCCCCAGTGGTCCACCCTCATCTGGTGCACCGAAACGACGTCCTCTCGGTCCTTTCCGGGGATAGAGGGCGGCGGCGTGCTCACGAGGAGTGGCTTGAATAATGACTCGGACCAGTGGTCGCACTATTGATGTGAGGCCGCACAATGAACCGCCCGTGTCAGCGAGCGGGCGTCTGCGGGCAGGCCGGCCGCTTGTTTCACCAGGTCGTCCGCGCTCTCATTCCCCTCGATACCACAGTGGGCAGGAACCCACTGCACTTGATGACGCTCGGTGCTGTTCAACAAGGTCTTCCATGCTTATCTCAATGCCGAGGGTTGAAGCCTCACCTGGGCGGCTACTCCTCCACTGAGTAGACTCAGGGTGGCTTGCCAGTTTGAGCGCGTGACGACCGGGTGACCGGGTCGGGGATTTCTTGTCACGAAACCTCTTCAAAGCCGCCCGCAGGGCGAATCTGCTATTAGGTTCACCAGCGTGTCAACAGTGACTGTCTTACACAACAAAAATTATGCAGCCACCCTGCGCCAAAAATTCAGCCTCCGCCATCGCCATGCACTGAATTTGGCGCATTTGAAGTTACGCCGGATGTGTGCCAAAATTTTTGGTACAAAAATTTTTGGCACAACTCCACCACTATGCGGGACATATTCGGCATAGCATCAATTTTTCCAGTCTGGGGGTTAAGGTTTTGGTTTGGTCAGAAAGAAGCATCTCTGGGTAGGTACCTATAGCACATCCCATTCTCCTTGGTTGCAAAAACAAGTGTGACTCCTGCTTTATGACCACCAAATGATGCGCATAACCAGTATGCAGTAGGTAAGTAACCAACTACCTCATTCACTTAAAAACCATTTAAGTTGAGGTAGAGGACAGGTACTGTCACTGTCAGCTGAAATACAGCACAAGCAGAATGAAACTCACCTTGTGATCGTGCTCATCTCCAGTGCAGACAGAGAACGCAACAACAATTAGCAATATGTCCCTTAGCCCAGCCATAACTTTGCCTGTGTGTGGACTTCTCAGTTCCAATGCAATCTTAGTTGAAATTAATCATAACATGGCCAAATTCAACTTAGCAACCGCGCATCTTCACAATCACAATCGCGGTACCCTCCAGTGTGACGAAGACAGCAGCTTCGTAAGGCAGTATGGTAGACCGATCAATTAAACCATTCATACAATTATTATGTCTACACGTCTACACTCAATTGATCAACACAATTTTTCGAGTTATATTTTTACACCACCAACGCGGGTCACAAAATGCAAGGTATATAAAAACACTACTGACAAAATGAAAACACGCGTATGTTTATCAATGAACAATTCGTATGTGTTCCTCCACATTCGCCGCAGTTCGTTGTCTGCGTCAGCTAGTTTAGTGATGAAAGGTGTACTCACCAAGTACCAGCTCGGTACTTATTTCGCTTATTTCAATGCATATTTTGTCAAATAACATGGTCCTAAGTTATGGCTGATTAATCCTTCTTATGCTATTTAAATAGACAAGTACACAACAAAAACAAGAACTTAATAGCAGGAACATAAGACGGCCGGGGCTGAAGGCAAGTTCTGTACGCAAGTACTATGCGGCAAGTAGGTATGTCGCAGGGGCGGATACAGGCAGCCGCATTGAGGCCCCATAGGCGTTCCCAAGCAAACAAGTGGGTGTGCAGCATACGGTCATGTCTCGGCACATCTCCAGGGGCTCCGGTAAAACTATTGCGTAAAAAATAACTGACCGATCCGGGGGGTATATGGAGCATTAGTTACCACATTTGAGACAATCATGCATAGGAATAATTTGGAACTAAATCAAAAGCGTGATTTTAGGCTAGTTTTGTTGCCGGGTTGTGCAGTGTCGGTGTTCCTTTCCACGAAATAATCGCCCAAGCCATCCTAGGATAAGCACAGGAGAATTCCTTCTTGCGAGCACTGCAAAGCCACCGCTAACAAAAACCATCATCGTATATTGACCCAACATACAAAAGAAAAACAATTCGAAACACTGAGCAGAGAAATATACCAGGGAACGCCTCGCATACGATAGTCACCTAGACTCAAGCGCCCATTACTTCTGGCGTTCGCTCGATCCACACCAATCGGAATAGGCGCTGGCGTCTTACGCACGATGTTTGGCAAACACTTCCTCCTCCAGGCATTTGTCACTTCTTTCTTAGCGAAGTTTAACTCCGCCTCCCTTTCCCCGGTCACCGATATTGGCTTGCTGGCCGGTCGCCATCAGCTTGCTAGCCAACCGCTGTCAGCTCGCAATCCCACCGATATCGACTCGCCAGCCAGCAGCCATCGGCTTGCCAGCTAGCCACCATTGGCTTACTAAGCCGTCGGTAGTATCTCGCTAGCCAGTCGCCAGCAGCCTGCTAGCCTGCCGACGATATCAGCTACCTAGCCACCATCAGCCTGCTAGCCCACCGCCATCGCCTGGCTAGCCCACCGATACCGGCTCGCTAGCCGGTCGCTAGCCCTCTTGTTGTACGAACGGGTTGGGTATGGCCTCCATACCGTCCGCCGGACAGATCAGTACCACGGCAGTACCTCGACACACCACCAGTCCCAGCTGGCGGGTGTCGTCCGTCAGACGGTACGGGTCGTCCGGGTCTGTCGGTCAGAAAGGGGAGGGGTTAGAAGTTAGACGGTACGGGTCGTCCGGGTCTGTCGGTGAGACGGGGGGTCAGGTAGGGTCAGAAGTCAGACGATACGGGTCGTCCGGGTCTGTCGGTCAGAAAGGGGGGTTAGAAGTAAGACGATACGGGTCGTCCGGGTCTGTCGGTCAGAAAGGGGGGTCAGAAGTCAGACGGTACGGGTCGTCCGGGTCTGTCGGTCAGAAAGGGGGGGGAGGGTTAGACGATACGGGTCGTCCGGGTCTGTCGGTCAGAAAGGGGGGTCAGAAGTCAGACGGTACGGGTGTCCGGGTCTGTCGGTCAGAAAAGGGGGTCAGAAGTTAGACGATACGGGTCGTCCGGGTCTGTTGGTCAGACGGGGCGGGGGAGGGGGAGGGGGTCAGATGAGGCAGGGGGAGGCTAGCAAGACGCACGCTAAAGTTGTGAACCGAAACGTTTCGACGGTTCACAGCAAGGCCATCCTTAGTGTCGTTTTATTAATTTTACACGGGAGGCAAAACAAGTGATATTGCACTCGATATCTCAGCACAGGAAGCGGCCAGCGGTACGGGTTTTGTTGCTTCCTACGCGGCTCGCTAACTAAGTCGACAGGTATAAAAATATCAACTTTGGTAAATTTAACACTAGGCATTCTCTGCACTAGTCTGCAGCGACCCATCCGATTGTTTGTGTTCAGTGAATACTTATCCCTTTCATATAAATAAATGGAGCTACAGCAATTGGCACACATCATAATATCGCACCACGGACATACTGGTTGTGCTTATAGGCCTGTCATGCATGCGACTGCTGTAGTTTAATGACGTGTTTTTTTTTTTTTAATTTAGCTCGAATGTTTGAATGGACGGATTGACAGAGCCGGAGCCCACGCTAAGCAGAGCTTGTTGCGTAGACCCTGACCCCTGCCGTCCGATCGCGCAATTCCGAGTATCGGGAGAATTTAGATGCCAAAGTTTAACGTGCCCTTCAAAGCCGGACACGGCCTGTCCCACTCAACTGACTTCAACTGGCTGCGGCTGCTCCCACCAACCGCAGACCATCCCCGTCAGGAGTCTCAAATATCGAGCGCCGGAGCGTCTCGAACCCGGGCTCTCACTACCGGGAGTCCGGTGCTCTACCAACTGAACTCAGTAGTGTTTCCATTATGTACTGAGTTGCTGAAGCACTGTGGCCGAATCATCTGTTGATTTATTACTGTCGTTATCTTTGCTCGAAATATATGCAAGCGGTTTACTGATAAGTTTGGAATTTGGGCGTTGTGAATTTTGGTCCTGATCCCGGAGAATAAAATCTGTCCGGAGAACCGGCCAGCTTTTAGAACACTCAACAGGAAAATCAAATGTTTGATCCACTAAATGTGACACTTGGTGAAATGTGTTCTCGCAATGCTATAACTGCATGTTTTAGGCGTAATAATAGCAGTGTTTCACCACACAGGCTGGAAATTTAAGAGATTTTAGGTGCCGGAGAATAAATTTGTGAAGAACAAAATCGCTTGGACCCGACTGGACCAGCAAAGGGCCTTATTTCCAATTTTGCTGGGAATACAGACCATCGGGGCCCCATAGAGGACTGTCATCACGCCAACAATCCGCGCTACATACCTCTCAGGTGCTCTGTGGTATTATCCAGCACCAGGTTGAGCAGCTGGTCAAAACCCTTCAGGATACCCGACGACTCCCGGCCGCCGGAAAACTTCACTCGAATTGGCTTGTCCAGGTATTTGGACAGATCAAGAATCGATTCCTTCTTCTTTCTCTCTTTCTGGTCGCCGCTGCCTCCGGTCTGAAAATACGTACAAAAACAATATAATAACAGCTCAATGTTAAATGTGTACTACTGTTATCTGTGGCGCAAACCATGAGCACGTATGACGTAGTTTAGTGAATAACGTCCAATTCAGGCCATGATAACAGCATCCCAGTAGCTCATAAGGGAAACCATCAAGCTCCCAAGTCCCAAACCGACCGCTCGTTGGAAAAATGGAGAGAGCCCGTTTCGAGCCATTCCACTGTCCGCTTTTTGAGATTCATGAATATTAGGGTGGTCCTTATTTTCGAAAACCGTATTTGGATACCTTGCGCCCCTTCAATCGGTGCCGTTTAACAAAAAAACATGTGCGTCAAAATTTCAGATCCCTACTTCATTATTTACTGGTAGCTCAACGCTCGTTCGTTCGTCAATGTTCGCTCAATGTCCGTTTCGTCGATCAACGTTCGTTCCCTCTTCCTCAGGTGTAACGATTCATTGTCTGCGTCGCAAACTTCTGGGTACATGGTGTCCCCCAGTTATGAACTCCTTGGCTCCAAGTTCCCAGTAGCGGCGGAACACCTTCAATTAGGGGGGGGGGGCACTGCCGACTTTTGGTCCCATTTTTTCCATGCAACGCCCATAGGGCTATACTAAAATGGTAAAATTAAGGGGGGCACGGTGCTCCGGTGCCCCCCCCCCGTTCCACTGCCTATGCAAGCTCCCATCCCGCGGCCAATCTCTCGCCTACTTCCTCCACCGCCACCAAATCCTCTAGGAAACGGTCCGGGAAGCGGCCAACCGGACGTTAGAGAAGGTACTATAGTAGAGGAGTTCTGGGCCAGGGCCAGGAATCCCACCCAGCACAAAGGGAGAGCGGTCAAGAAGGTGGAAACTCTCTTCGACGAGTGGAAACGCCTGAAAAAGAACAAGAACAGGACTTCCGCCACCCAAACAAGCAACGAGGACGCATTCAAGAAACAACTGGAAAATATCTTTGATATCGCCCACGGTGACGCAATGTCCTTGATACCTAACCATCCCGGAAGATCGCGCCTTCCTTCTCGCCCAACGTGAGCCAGGGAGACGGGATAGAATGACAGAGGCAGACATGGCGCTCCATTCCCAAGAAAAGAGGAAGAGGAGGAGGGATGACGCCGAAGAGAGGAGGAGGAGCAAGGCGTCGCGTCGGAGGAGGCGCGGGCGGCAGCTGACCAAGTGGAGCTGGAAAGCATAACCTCGAGTAGCTCCGAATCGTCACCACTTCGCGGAGCCGTGAGACCTGGCCCCAGCATGGGTACAGCCACTCTGTCATCCCGAAAGCGTGGTCGAACCACGGCCATCACGCCGCAACTTTCCGCTAACGTCTAACGTCTAACGTGTGTGTGTGGGGGGGGGGGGGTCGGTTAGACCCCTCTGCCTTTTGGCTCCAGATCGCGCTAGAGCTTTGCGAGAAAAAAAAAACGAGCGTGTTGCCCGTGACGAGAGGAAACCGATGATATCCAATTTAAGGTCCTAGGTCATTGGTTGACCTTCCAGGTCAGGTCAATGACCCAGTGGTCAGAAAAATCGGGACCTGCAAGAGCTTCGTACAGTGAAGCTGTATTGTTTTTGGGGGTGCTGATCACGAATTTCATGCTAGTTTTGATCACATATGATGTCTTCGTGCATTTAGACCAGGTCGGGTCAGGTCAGGTCAGGTCAGCCATTAGGCGTCCTGCCGGCTACCCATAGTAGGTCTCAACTACCACTGGTGGCGTCGTAACACATAACAAAGGCACCAAAACTACTTCGTAAATGTTCAAATGGATGCTAAATTCGAAATCAGCCCGAAAAACTGCCCTAGAAACATGTATGTACCTATACCTCGGAAAAGTGACACGAGGTCATCATAGGTCAATGACCTGACCTGACCTTCAGGTGACCTTGACACCCACCGTAATGCATGGGGCGAACATCATTTCACATGTTTGGACGTTTATAATCGCAAAAATATTAGAAACACGCGGATAATGAGAGCTGACATACGCTGAATCGCGACTCCGGCCAAACATGGTCTCGAGAAATAGGTCACAGGTCAAAGGTCGTTTGGGTCAGGGTCATGAAATTTTCAGAGTATGTATAAAATTGATCATCTCGAGGATACTGAACGTTTCGTCGCGATCGGCCGCTTTTTACGTGAGTTATTCGCGAAAACTCATGGGGGTCCATCCCACCCCTACACAATACACATACGAGGGTTAATATGCATTGAGCCACCAAAAAGCATCCGCCGATTTCGCTCTTTTTGCTCTTTTGCCACGTTTCTAGACGAATGGCATCATTTGAGGGGGCGCAAGCGCGAAAAAATACAAATAAAAATTTTGTACGGAAATAAGGACCACCCTAATGAATATGGATCTCCTAATCGATAACATCTATTCTTTTTTTGGCAGAGCTCTAGCGTCTGGCTTAGGCTATTCCAAATCAATCGACTGATATGATGCTAATGCCAAATCACAACCTGTATGGTGCTGCTGGTTTACATAGCCCGGAGTGCTGTGAACCGGCCGGCCACCTGTAGATGGTGCACCCTTCCGGCCTCCGGACGAACTACTGGTAAGGAATTCGAGTGCATAGGTGGCGCTCGGGGCCGCTTTTTGCGTCTATCAGCAGTCTTTCGGCGACACACACTCGGCACGGAAAAGACGTTGCTCACGTGGCACTGTTAGTGAGGATCGAGGAAGCGGACGCAGGACTGGGCGGGGCTGCGGAGTCCGAGTCAGAGTCGGTCGGAGTCTACAGTTTTGCCGGGAGTCGGAGCCAGTCAATCGGAAGGCGAGGTCCCAGTCCGAGTCACCGATGCATCGACTCCACAGCCCTGACAAGGACTTCCTCGCAGCCCCAAGTTGGGGCTGCGAGGAAGTCCTGCAGTCCCGAGGAGATCCCTAGGCGACCGATGAATTAACACAGCCATGACTCTCAGGGATAAAGGAGCTAACAGCAGCTGCTGGAAATTCCTCTGAGAGGACATATTCACGGCAGTGCTTAGAGATATTAAACAGTCATCATGGCAAATGATTGGAAGACAAGACTGGTCAATTGGCAACATCTCAAGGACCCACCGATAGACCCAACTTTACAAAAATAATTGATAATCGGCATGAATGAAGTATATTGATTTATACACTTATGACCTGGATCATATCCCTCTCAGAGCCTCTGAAAAAGGTAACTTGCCCCAATACAATAGCCACTCCCAAAGGCTGAAATTCTGATGACTGATGGGTGCTCGGTATCTGGTTATGACTTGTGAGGAAAGAATGATTTGCTATGGTAATCCTTTGAAGATTTCACCCTGAATTCTTGGATGAACCTTTGTATGTGGCCAACTGCTGCAACATGAAATGTATTGGGTAGTAGAAAAGCAAAAATCACACTTGCTTTTTCCAACCAAGGAGAGGTGCTGTAAAGTGTAGGTTAGGTTGTAGGTTGTAGGTAAGGTTAGGTCAGGTTTGGTTAGGTTTAGTTTGGCTTGCTTCAATTAGAAAGTATCTTTGGGTATAGCACCACTCCTTGGTTGGGAAAAACAAATGTGATGCCTGCTTTACGACTACCCTGTACTGCCCATCTAGAGAATCTCAAGAGAATTTAAAGAGAAAATGAACTGATAGCTTACCGTGGTTGCCATGTTGTCTATTCAAAAGCTTTGGCTTTCTTTGGCGGAAATGCTTTCAGAGCTCTGGTGCTCTGGATAATGAGATATGCTGAACTCGAACTGGTAAGAGCTTCTTTCTCAATGTTTTCAGCAAGATGCTTAAAAGAACTCCTGAAAATCATCAGACATGCACGATTGAAGTAAAGCAAATTCAACACAATTCTTTAAGCAAAATTGCATAGAAAATTACTTTTATGCACAAGCAAACAATCGATTAAGTAAATAAAAACATAATTAAGTTAATTACAATTTGAACCATCCTATTGTATTTCACGCAACCAGTGATAGACACTAAAGCAGGTCGGCAAAGCCATGTCAACGCTAAATATCCGAAACCTAGGGTATAATAAATGGTAAAAAATTTCATATAACACTTACCAACACTTCAACTTGAACTTGAACTGAGCTGCAAAAAAAGAATGTCCCGGTCCCCAAAACAAAACGTATCCCGCTTCAACACTAGCAAAATAAATCGCCAGCCGCCAGTTTCACATTTCGAATCAAATGCGCCACACATGTACTAGTTTCCAGCACTAATTTACAGCTATTTTTGTATAGGTCACAAAAATAGCTGTTTTTAGCTATATATTTAAATTAGCTGTAAATAGCAAATTTTTGTATAGAAATAGTTCACTTTTAACATGGGATTTTGAACTGGAATAGCAGTTTCGTAGCTTGAGCTGAGACTAGCACAAATCAGGAGCTTTTACGGCTCAACGATCACCCTAGACGAAGATATTCCATTTCTCGTTCCGAAAAGAGTGCCTTGCAGAGGAATGTGTGCCTTGCACAGGAATGCAGCCACGTCATCGTCAGCCAATCAGCATGCTGCTTACAGCTAATGCAGCATGCGTAGGTTTGAACTACGCAATATGATTGGTCAACGCGTAATAAGCTTCCGCGTCAAACATTATTTTACATAGAATATAGTTCGTCCTATATTAAAATATAGAAAATAATTGCTTTTACAAAAAGGTTTTATTTTATTTTCTGATCATTTTGAGCATAAAAAATCGTAAATCCATAGCAAAATACTAATTTCAGGAAAGTGAACTGTTTCCTTTAACCCGCGCCCTGGTGGGGTCTGTTTATAACGCGACCTGGTGGGGGGGGCTATTTTTTGCCCCCCTCGTATCTCCGAAACTACTGGACGGATCCGCAAAATTCAAACGGCGTTCGATAGCCCTGTCAAATTTGTTGAGGGAAACCAAATTTTATTGACCTCGGGGTCACCGATGACGTCACAGGTCAGGTCAAAGATAAAATGTTTCACCGTTCACGGGGCTTCTAGGGAAAGCGCTATAACACCGAGTAAAACGCATTTTGTCGAAAATCAGCGATAAGACGTCAGTTGTCTAGTACATATGTTGCTATTAGAGGTCACTGGTCATACCAGGTCAGGTCACAGGTCAGGTCACCAAAGGTCACCAAGGGTCACCACATGAACCCAACTTTACTAAGGTTGTGCGATGCATGTTTTATGGCCAGTTTTTCATTTCCAACCCAATGGTGTTGGTTATAAGACCATCAGGTACGGTTTAGGTCACTTTCTGGTGGAGGTCAGGTCAAGGTCAGGTCAAAAAAGGTCAAATTTCAAAGTTGATATTTTTGCATAAAAAGGGTATCGATTCGATGCAGCTCGTCACGGGGAGTATAATGGTGGTCTTTGTTTTGCACTACGAGGTCTAGAATTGCTAAAACTTGAGTTTGAAAATTTGACGTCATCAATTTTGAAGTTTTTTCGCTATAACTTCGCCAAAAAAAGAGGTATCAATCTAAAATTTGGTATGTGGATGGAAGGCGGTAAGGACTATCACATATATTTCGGTTTTTGCGAAATTCAAAAAACTTTTTGGATTTTTTGACTATTATATCCAAAAAATCTATTTTTTGATTTTTGGGGGTCAAAATCAGAAAAATTCAAAAATTCGAGATAACAGTTTTGTAGCCCTATCAATTCTACAGCTTTTATGTCCTAAACATTTTTCTGTATTTGCAAAGCTATAGGCCTGACAGCTCTTCCCGCGAAACCCTTTTTTGGGTCGAAAACGGCAGAACATGACGTCACTCTGACGTCATTTCCGGCCAACCTATCATAGCTTTTAAAAAACTTTTTGGTCAAAATGTGTAAAATTGATGTCCGGGAGGGTACTGAAAGTTTGATGACGATCGGCGTAGCGGTTCTGGAGATATATCGAAAAGTCTGGAGGGGGGGGGGGCAAAAAATAGCCCCCCCCCCACCAGGTCGCGGGTTAAATTCATGGCCTCAAATTCATGTTCAAAATGTTCAAAATTGATGACGTCAAATTTTTTAAACTCAATTTTTAGCAATTCTAGAACACGTCACCACGTAGCGCAAAACAACGACCACCATGTGACGAACTGCATCGAATCGATACCTATCCATTTTATGCAAAAATATCAACTTTGAAATTTGACCTAATTTGACCTTATCTTGACCTGACCTTGACCAGAACATAATCTAAACTGGCCCCAAAGGCTGCCTGACCCACATAATCGCATTTGGCATATAAAATGGACCATAAAAATAAAATGCATCACATTCACATGATATTTTCATATTGTGACCCTCAGTGACCTGACCTCTGTGACCTGACCTGGTATCAGTGACCTCAGATAGCAAAATATGTGTTTGAAGAGCAATTCCCCATCGGCAATGATTTCCAATGAAATGCATTTTACTCGATTTTACAACGCATTTCTTGAAATGCCTGTAAACGGTGAAAAATCGACATTTGACCTGACCTGCGACGTCATCAGTTTGACATAGGTCAATGAAATTGGGTCACAAGGTAGTTCGATGTTGGGGCTATCCAACTTGCTGCTTGTCGCTATGTTGCGTGGTTCTGGAACCCCTCCCCCCCCCCAACAGGGCGCGTTGCTCGGCAGACACCAACGGGGCGCGGGGGTAATTTTACCGGTTCGTGTTCCTCTCGTCTAGACGCATTGAATTATCTATAATTTGACCTCAGGTCAAGTTCATGACCTGACCGGAAAGGGTCATGTTGCATATCAGTCGATCCGTATCATCAAGCTGAACGCATCTAAGACATTTCCATCGCTCGCAGTCGCTTGCATCTATCAAAAGTAGGTACCTAATTCGCGAACAACTGTCAGATACCATGATCGTGACCTGAGATGACCTGAGAGTTGAGACCTCAGGGGCATTAAGTATAAACAGGGGTCACGGGTGCCATTTTCATGTTCAGTGTGTCATAGTTAATAGTTAATTCAGTGCTTGCGAGTGGTTAGCATGACGTTCGTCCAAGAGTCGCCTTTCAATTTTCTCCCGTTGACATAGGTAATGGGGATGTCGCAAAATTGACTCGACCTTAGATAACCGATATTACAATTCCGAGATTACCATTTTGCACATACTGTTGCGGTTATCAATCGCTTAAAGTTTCAAAGAGATCTGTCACTCGGTGTAGCTATGGCAGACATTGAAACTTTTTATGAGGTGAGGTAACGTAAAGTGACCTGGTGACCTGACCTTAAGTGACCTCTGTTTAAGATTTTCACAACATGTGCAGGAAAGTTGCATGAAAAGGTGTGCCAAAAATTTGACGCCCTGCGCCGCCGCCGTTTTTTTTTTTTTTTTTTAGATATTCACTTAGAACCACGAGGCTAATGTAAATCACCAGACATGGTATTTACATATATTCAAGTGAATGACAAGAATGTAAGATTTTGTAAGCTCAATCGAATGATATAAATTTCTTTCTAAAAACGCCGTTCAACGCATGAACTTAGCAACATTTTTTTTTTTCTACAGTAGATAGGTATACATAACTCTATAGGTACAAAGTATCTATAACTCCTCTATATAGAGTAGTGCTCTAATTCTTCTTTATTATAAACAAGATGGATGGACGGGTCGATCAACCGGGTTGATTGTTAAACAAACATTTACGTCAATTTGTGTTCAATGATAGTAATGCTTCCCGTTGCGCAGCAGCTTTTACAGTGTGCCGAAAGCGTGGATGGGGTCGCCTCGAGACGTCAGAGCTTTGCCTGAAGCTCTGCCTGGCTCTTGGCCTGTCGATGGTCAGCGATTAGTGACGCTCTTATATCAATATGTAGGTGGTGGCGGTCATCCGACAGTTCGTCAATGATATTGAGCCTGGGACCTCACGAGTTCTAGCGATGGCCGCTGTGTTTACTTTAATTTTGTCTAGCATTAACGAAACCTTCACTAATTATAGCAAGTTTAATGATTTCGGCAATGAAAGGTCGCAGCCGTTTTCAGATATGCATCTATTTCGTATATGAAACAACACACATTTACAACATCTATTGCGAAGGAGGATAATGCTTCGGACTGACTGTGGTGAAAATGCGTCACCGTAGGTAAGGACTAATAAACTATTTCGCTAATGGCAGTCGTTCTCGGTACTTAATTTCGGATGTGCCTTTTAAATAATAATTTTTGTACATTTGAATTTTGTAATGATTTTGCATGCCATATAGTCCTTTATTGTATAAATTATTACACTATGATTGTATGTTGAAATCTATAGGTACACTGTGACTTCTGGCCGACTTCGATCTAAGTGATATCAATTGATCCCGCGTTCTTTTTCAGCAGCCATTTGATTTTAAGGACGGTGTTAGTGACCTTGCGTCAGCGTGACATCAATTACCTTAAAGTTGAACGGAAGGCCTGCCCGTACCTTAAAGTTTGGCTCGCCTGCCCGTCCAGTTACTTCGTGCTAACGTTTCACCAAACCCAAGGCCAATTTTTTATTCAGTTTATTGCATCCATCACATATCACTCAGCATCCACTTCTTGTGCCATGAATGTGACTAGACTAATCCACTTAGTTTTCGTAAGAGCTTTCATCTTTCTTGTCAAAAGGGGTAATACGATTTAACGTGTTGCTTATTAGGACGGCAGCTATTGGCGTAAATTGTATTATCTTGAAAAATAAAACCGTATTTTGTGTAGGTAGATCTTCTGAGATCACCAAGTACACGAAATACCTACGCCGGAACCTTATTAGGCGTTGCCAGACGACATTGCACAGGGCGAAACAATGCGCGCTACTGAATTGCAGGCAGGTGGGTTTCATCACAAGAGAGTGTTGTCAATTTATTTATTGGGACGTTCGGCTTTCAACCAACCATGACTTTGTGCCAGCTCTATGAAATCAATCACGCAACATGATATTCAGGGTTCTTTTTTGGCCATCAGGAGACCACACGACCTAGTCTCGCCTAACGGCCTTAAAAATGGTTTAAACTTTAGATAGAGCGAATAGACATAAAACACCCAAGAAATAAAACGCAATGTTATATTTGAATGTCCATGAACTCGGCCAAGCGAAACGGTCACAGTTTAAAATAATCACTTCTTTCTTTTCGCTTTGCTTTTTTTCTTGTTTTGATTCTTTTCGGGCTGATTTTTCTGGCTGCATGACTCATGGACCGTCTTCAGCAGTTTCTCCTCTCCAAGAAGCTCTTCCGTCCAACCAGGCTCGTGCTGTAGAATGGTAGAAGCTTCTTTGAGAAGGCCCTCAACCTTGTCCCATTCATCCTGAAAAGAAAAGAACGGCATAAGTTGCTTTTACCAAGGTGACTGTAATCGCCACGCCCCGTGTGGATTGTCCATGATTGTAATACATACATACAATACATACAAATGTACTTATTACTTAAATGCAACATTTTGATCTGACGTTTTATGGCTCACGGATGCATATATTAGTCTCGATCGACATTGGTGTGCTTACTGCATTGGAGCTTCCTCTGCTGGCCAGTAGATGTCTCTGCGTGCGGCAGAGCTCCAGCAGCAGCACGCCTCTGAAGCGGCTTTGTCCGGGTGTGAGGCAGCTGGCCAGCTGCAGCAGCTGCTCGCACAGCTGCTGCTTCCTGCGCAGCTGATCAGCCGACAGCTCTGGCGACGGAAGACGGTGATGTCAATTGTCAGGTTACAATAACCAAACGGTTTGAAGGAACAAACACAATATGTGACAGGAGCTGTCTAATGGCTGCTTTAGGACCACCTGCTTTAGGACTCACAAAGACGCGGAACGGCAGAAGGTGCTACAAAATGCAGGCAGTGGTCAGAGCGACCGCAGGGTGGTGGTCAGAATCAATTGATATCTCATTGATTCCCTTCACCATTCCGCCTCTACATTTTACAGTCTGCTATTATTACATTCCCCTCGTCTGCTCCACTGTTAGTATGCACCTCCAATCCAAACGTGTACCAGTGTCTCCCAACATAAACCCTCGTGTAATTGATTTGTTTCGTTTTGTTGGGAGTAAGCTCTTTCAGTCTGAAAAGGCCATAGGGTAAACTGTGCGGACCACCGACGGTACGTCGCAGTGGCAGAGGCTGTCTCGGTTGAAAGTTTACATTCATTTTCCGTAGAGGCAATGTGTATTGTGTAAACTTCCAGCACGGACGAAAGAAGAAAGCAAAGACGGCTAATGTGTAAGTACCTCTCACCTTTCCACGTGTACCCGTCAGCGGTACCGTACAGCTGTACCAGGGCGTACGCCACCTCCGCCCTCTGACTGCAGCGCGGGTCCAGAGACTCCATGGCCGCCTCCAGACCGGGGACGGTGCGCTCCGCACTCTGTACCGTCTTGGTCAGCTGAGCGCGCCGAGCGACCACCTGAGCGACGGAGTGGCGCCGCGGTCAGATGCGATCAGATGCGTCAGATGGTCAGATGTGTGTCAGATTCGGTCACGTCCGTTATTTCGATGATGGTGAAAATTAACTACCTACATAACAGTCTCTGTTAGAGCTTGAATAACAAGCTCGGGCCATCACCTGCAAATTGACAAATATTTCGATCACTGTTATAAAAGTACACCTATAAACCTGTACCTATAAATCAATCACTCAAGTTTCTCTTCAACAATGCTCAATAAATTCAACGGCCAGTATGACGTTTCTCTCATCCGAGCTCCAACCCTCACTTTGATCTATTTCTCGATCTGGCTCCTGGCTTTGATTGACCTCACCTGTGGCGCCGCCTCCCGTCTTCCGCAGCGATCGCAGCGCCACGCTGCGGCGGCTGCGGCAGGCTCTGTGCTGAGTAGTGCGCCACTGCAGCTGGTGCAGGTCAATGACCCCAGGCGGGTACCGAGCTCAGTCGGGTCCTGACATCGTTCACAGTGGCAGGTGAAACATTTACTGAACTGCAGGTGCTGCTGCCTGGCGGCCGTGTCTGCAAACAGAGAAGAATCCGCTCAAATTTTATGACAATTTTTCTTTGCGACAGTTGTGCGTGTGCAGCTCAAGTCACATGGTTTCACAATCACTGATCGTGCATTCGGACATGCAAATAGCTCGAATCGATTTATCCTGTGCAAAATTCGCCGGCATAGCGACAAAGCAGAGTAGACGTAGGTACCTAACTTGCCTCAGAAATAAAACAAATAGACTACTTGTTTTTTATTTTTCATTATTTTGTAACGACTATTTGAAATAGTCGTTACAAAATAATGAAAAATCGCTAACAATCTCGCGATATCACACTGAAAAAAATCGGGGAACCCCATTTCTTACAATCTGACACCACATACTCCAAAATACTCCTAAATTAGGCTCCGTTTTCATGATTTTAGGATGTCATGGGTGTTGTGACACCCGACACGGGAGCCCCATTACCTTTTGACGCCGCAAAAATGTACATGACCCCCTTGGGAGAGGTTCGGCTAGCGAACTCCCCAAAAATTGCAGGCCAAAAAATTGGAGTGTCGCTGAGACACCCCCGTTGAAACCCCTCAGGGGTGTCATTATCCTGGAGTGACACCCCGTGTTTTCAGCTTCAAATCCTACCGATAGATGGCGCAAACTAAAGTTGGTAAAATCGGGACCTGTTTTTCACGAATGGCTGGTGCATGTTTGGAGCTAAGGCAAAAGCGTGCATAGCGTAGAGTGGCCAACTATGTCACGATGATATCTAGACTGATTACCGTGACATACGTTGGTCGTGCACACTACAGGGCGCCGCAAGGCCGCGAACGGAAAGAGTAACTCCTCACCCGGTTATAAATATAGTCTGAGATTCTCGTTCCGAAGGTCATTTAATCCTCGTCGGGAGTTTTTCGGAAATATAGGGGAGTGAAACTTCTCTGAGAGATTCCCTGGTGAAGACGCGCGGTTCCCCGCGTGGGGGTCAGGAACAATATGGGGAGTTACATCAGAAAAATAGGGGAGTTGAGCTGCTATATTTTACACCCTAATTTGGGAGTTTGACACCCTGTCGGGTGCTTAGGGACCAAAAAGGGGTGCTCGGCTGATATTTGAGGGGTGTCACCTGCAGTCTAACGGAACCCCATGTGGGCCGGCGCTGACCCCCCTTTAGCGGCTGCGACTCCCCACTATGCGTCGAAACCTTCCTGGGGTGTACGCCAAACACCCCATTTATAATAGCTCAGCGACTCCCCTCAAAACACCCCACTCGGGTGTTATTTTTGACATGACCGTCAATACCCCGTACAGGGTGTCATTTTTTCTTTCAGTGCATGATGAGCTGAATAGAAGTTATAAATCCAATGCTGTAAATTTGACTAACAGACAACAGTCAAATCTCTCAATCCCAGTGAGGAGAAACGAAGATAAAGTTGACTATTTCATTTATATCGATAAGACGCTTCGGCTTCGTCGACAGTTTGCAGTACCCTTCACGCAAAACTCACTCCACAGCGGCTGGGTGTATGACGTGCTGATGACGTCACCGGCCGCGATGGGCACCGTGGCGCGCACAGTGATGACGTAATCACTGTCGAACACGTGCCTCGTGTTAGGCCGACAGTCGTGGTTCTGCAGCGAGGCAGACGCGTATATCGCCCGTACCTTACTCTCGGCCGTCCTCACCTGGTGCACGGAGACGAAGGTCAATGGTTCGATTCTTGACGATGACCGGAGGTTGCTTTTGCGCGTAGTGCAACATGTCTATACAATCCTATGTATTTTCAATTTTAACGAGTCATTTGATTGCGAACTGGTTCAATATAATTCTAATTTCTAACGACGAATTCGGGTTAAAGGTAGTGTGCCACCTTCCAATGATTTCCCATTTTATTTTTCCTAGGATAAGAAGCTTCTGTTTTTACCTAATATCGCAAAAAAATAAAAAATGGGCCTGGAATAGTGCCCTTTTCGCCCAAAAGTTTATCGGTTTTTCGATATGTATAACAACTGTAGTGGGCTGACCTGCAAACAGGCGTCGGCAACAATCGCGAATGCGGCGCACATGTGACACTAAGCGAAGGTCATTATAGAGTAATGACGTATGGGACTGAGTTATCAGCTGTCTTATCGTAGGCAACACAATGTCGAACTTAAACTGTAAGCCTGTATTGGTATTGTTTTATTTAATTTGGCTGTCGAACATTAATTTATGGTTTGAAATATGATTTTATGTAAAATAATTGATATAAAACAGCCGTCTCTTAAGTTATGACCCCATTTCACCACACACGAGTGGCAGAAATGACAATGATCAGCTGGCGCATTTTTCTTGGCCGAAGTCAGAGCGGGCGGCCCGACGCACCACCACCGCACCACAAAGTAAGTATGAGCAGCGTATTTGGAAATTCCGACCTCGACAAGCATCAGAAGCCACCTAACAGGCGTGTTCGAAACCGCAGGAGATGATGATGAACGGGTTTATCGAAACTTGATTGGATGAGCCTATCGGTAATAGCGATTTTAGTGTGCGCATTTATTGTTCATAGTGGTGTGAAATGTGGTTGGGGTACGACCGACAACCCGTCGGGGTGAATTTCGCACTGAGGTACTCAAAATTTGAAGAATTTAAGACGTTTCCATGAGTTTTGAAGGTATGGATAAGTTCCAAAAATCCGGTTCTCCCCGGGTCATTAACTCCATATGGTCCAGGAAAGCTGGCACACTACCTTTAATATCCAAGTCAAGATAGGTATACCTAGCCATGGGTGTCGATTTGTATACCTTTGGGGGTGCTGCAGCACCCCCAATGCTCAAATGAGCACCCCCAATGGTTTTCCGGGCACCCCCAATGGTTTTGTCCCTCAATAACTCTGCTTGAGGAAAATAATTGTTCTGCAGTAGTTCACTACTAAAAATAAAACAATTACGCAACTTACAAGGCATGAAATAAAGATGTAAAGAAAAGAAAATTTAGATTTAAGAAGAAGGGCGAAAAAAAACGTTAAGTTGCAAAGATGGTGTGGGTCCGTCGTACACGGGTGTCGGACCCTTAGAGCTGCTGGCGCGTACCCTTTACAAGCCGGCAGGGGGCTCCAGAGACCGGCGACGGGCCCTCAGAGGCCGGCAAAGGGTCATCAGAGGCCGGTGGTATGTACCCTCAGAAACCCTGTGGGGTCATCTTTAGAGACCGGAACGGGCTCAGGCGCTGATGGGGCCCTCAGAGTCGCCGGTGTGGGGCCTTCAAATGTCACCGGTGGCAGGGTGGCCGTCACATGCGCACTTGTGGGGCCTTCAGAAGCTACGATGTTGGGCCCTCAGAGCCGCCGATATAGGGCCTTAAGAGGCACTAGTGTGGGGCGCTCAGATATGGCAATGTGGGGCCCTCGGACTGGAGGCGCCGGTGTGGGGGCTCTCAGAGACACTGGTTTAGGGCCATCACAGGCGCGCGTTGGGCCCTCAGAACTGCTGTTACGGAACGGATCCTTCATAGGCCGACAAGAAGATATCAAGAGGTCACCGGTGCCTTCAGGAGCCTTGTGGGGTTCTCAGAGACTGGCATGGTGCGCTCAGACGCCGCTGGGACCCTCCGTGTCACCTGTGTGGGGCCGTCAGGGTCGCTGGTAACTGTCAAGGGCCCTCAGAACCGCCCATGTAGGGTTTTTAAAGGCATTGGTATAGGGCCTCAGAGTTAGGGGTGTGGGGCCCTCAGAGACGCCGGTGTGGCGCTCAGGGGCGCCGCGCCGGTGAGGGCCCTCACAGTCGCCGTTATAGGGGCCCTCAGAGAAATGGGTGTGGGGCCATTACAGGCGGGTGTGCAGCTCCTAGAGCTGGCCCCCTAGAGGCCGGTTAAGACCCCCAGAGGCCGGCAAGTGGCCCTCAGAGGCTGGCTTGGGGCCCTTATGGAGATCTTAATGTTAGTACTTTTGGGCCCATGAGGTGTTCTTACGAGCCCTGTGGGGCCCTTCTGAGTCCAAATATAGCCAACGTAGACCCTCAGTGGCCAATTGGCGCCGCAGTGCCCCTCAGGCCCGAATAATCCGATGGGCCCCTGAACCTGATGGGGCGGGAGGGGGGGGGGGCTCACGGGCCCACCTGGCTACGCCACTGAGGAAAATCGTAAACCCATAAATATCGAATTGCAATCACCTGTTATTTTTTTCAGCGATTATTGTGATCGTCTGATAAACGCCAGAGCCTCGTAGCTATACCGTTGCCTCCCGCGCAATGTCCGCCCCTGCGGACCGCAGGGGCTGCTGCACCGGTGCTAATCGCGGTCATCGGTTTCTGTCACCTTATTACAGAGGTGTCGGGGCTGCTGCCGAGCTGCCGGCAAATGTACGCGTTTTTTTTTCGGAAAGATGTTTATGTAATGAGGTAGCCAAGTACTAGGACGAGCAGAATGATTTTGAAGAACGTTCAACTTTTGGGAAATATTAGTGGAAATCCCGGGATTATCAGTACCTTATGGGGATACACGACCATGCCTTGTAGGTACGGTTGTGCCCCATGGCAAAGCTACATTCTTTCACCCGGTGCAGGGGTTGAGCACCCCCAACCATTTTGAAAAATCGACACCCCTGTACCTAGCTCAGCGAAATCATCACTAAGCCCCTCCGTTTAGCATTCAAACATTATTCGCCATTGCTTTTTTGCAGCTTCAAGCAAGAAGATCAGCTCGTCATCGGTGTTTCTCGATTTCCTAAACAAAAACACAACGAACAAACTTGCTAAAAACGTACCTACAGGCTAGAGTTGTCTCAAAGTCGAAACCGATTCGTAGTCTGGATCGTATGTCAAGTCGAAGTAACACGCAACGCAAAAACGCAATGCCAGTAACCACCATCATCAACATCACCGAGCCTGACGGCGTCAATTCTCACCTCAAACGAGTTGGTGTCAAGCACACCACACATTTCCAGTACCAGGTTCTCCGTGACGTCACAATCAGCTGGCAGCGCGGCAGTTAAATAGCCGGCCAGCTGAGCGGCGTTCAGACGATACAGCGCCGTTTGTCGCCGCCGGTCCAGGTGGTGCTCCAGTGACGTCAGAGACGACCACGCCTGTATAAGAGGAAATCAGGGGATAAGTGCTCCCTCCAGTGACGTCAAAGATGACCAGCCTGCACGAGAGAGGGTTGAGTTAGCTGTTCCAGTAAGCTCAGAGATGACTTCGTCTTCGCAACGGGAGAGTGGGGGTTTTAGTGTCAGTGACGTAACATATGACATCAATAACAAGTAAAATGGAATATGTACTGACGAATGTTGACTTTAGGTGATCATTAGGTTGAAACGTCCAAGCTATTTATCCCAATTAGTTGACTGAAGACGCTACAAGTCACATGGAAATGAATCGCCTCCACCTGAGTGCAGGGGCGTCGTTTTGTATAGGCCTGGTAGGGCCCGAGCCCTACCAATGTTTATATGGGCCCTATCAATGTCCCGTGAGCCCTACCAATCTTTTGTCAGATATCACTTAATGAAAAGGGCAGTTATGAACCGTTCGGTCCCTGATCGAGGTAGAGCTTCGGGGAAAAAACGAGCGTGTCCTCTGACACAAATGCCTCTATAAATGCATGTTTTGTACATTGGTTCGGTAGTACCAAGATTTCCAAGAAGTTTTGTGTTTTAGTTTTGATTGTTAACTTCAGTTTTCAAATTTCAAATTCAAAGCGGAAATATAATTGGCCGAAATCCGATGAGAAAGGCAAATTTGGGGGTACCCTACCTTTGTAAGCACGTCATAAATGGCCGTCCACCGTTTTTGAGCCCTACCAATCATTTTCATAAAACGACACCCCTGCCTGAGTGAATGCACTCGCTACTCACCTGTTCAACTCACCTGTTCAACTCACCTGTTTGGGGTTCCCTTGGTCTGAGAGTAGCCAAAATGAATGCAGGGATGGGGAGAAGGGAAGGAACCCGCATAGAAAGAGCTCGCCCGATGGATGAGAACACATCCAAACGGGAAAGTGAGCCCACAAGTGCCAAATGAATGAGTTTACAAGAGTGATAAGATACAAACAGCAACATTATAATCGGAACACAGTTAACGGTCATGGGACACAATTCATTTAGATACGCACTAGAGACTAGTATACAAACAGGGTATCACCCAGCGTCGCAGATAACATGGATTTGAACCTGGTTAAATCTGGTTCAGACACTACTTCGTCCGGTAGAGAGTTCCATGGAGTGATACAGCGGACACTAAATGATCTGGCACGTAAATCTGTTTGGGGACGGACGTGTGGCAACTTAAAGCGGTGGCCTTGGGTTCCAGAGGATGGCGAGAGCACGAAAATATCCGAAGGTTTGATTGAACATTTATCATGGAAGAGTTTCCAGCATTGTATCATGTCAGCTCGGAGGAGCCTGCCCTTGGCCGAAAATTGGTTCAGGGCCTTAAGTCGAGAGTGGTAATCTAGGTTGCCGAGACCATGGACGCGCTTCGTCCAACGCCGCTGGACTGACTCGAGGAGCCTTAAGTCACCCACGTATCCGGTGTGCCACACGCAAGAACAGTACTCGATCAAAGGCCTTACGTGCGTGCTGAAGAGTGTCATCATAAAGTCCGGGGACCTGCAAACAGTAGATTTAAGCAGGTTCTGAGTTAGACCCGCGGCTTTTGAAACCGTTGCTGTAATATGATTGTGAAACTTCAAGTCTGAATCAACTACAACGCCAAGGTCGGTGTGGGAGTGGACAACCTGGATTGGGGCATTGGAGATGTGATAACATGGAGGGGGGAGAGCGTGGAATTTCCTGTGAAAACGAAGGACAACACACTTTTTAACATTCAGAGAAAGGCACCAAGACTCAGCAGTGCTCTGCAGCATATCAATGTCACGCTGGCACATCTGTGAATCGAGGTCATAGCTGGCATGCGGGATATGACGAATTTTCATGTACATCTTCAGGTCATCTGCAAAAACCTTGTAACGGCATGACAGGTTGCTAGCAACGTGGTTTACAAATATCAGAAATAGGATGGGTCCCAGAACAGAGCCCTGGGGGACACCACTGGTGACACGGTGAGGGCTGCTCAGCTTTGTCTTCACCTGTACGGCCATTTGTCGGTCAACTAGGAAGTCCTCGATCCATCGGACCAGGCTGTCCTGGATACCAAGGAGACGAAGTTTTGTTAGGAGGATTTGGTGAGAAACGACATCAAACGCTTTGGCGAAGTCGAACATCACGACATCAACGACACTTCCACTGTCTACATGCAGAGACACCTCATTGTACACCAGGAGCAGTTGATCCATGGTAGACCTGCCTGCTCGAAATCCGAACTGGTGGTCAGTCAGGATGCCGTTGTCTTCCAGGTAAGCTGAGAGATGACGAACAATGATTCTCTCTAAGCATTTACACGTCACAGAAGTGAGGCTGATCGGTCTGTAGTTGAGTGCGTCGTACCTTGAACCTTTCTTATAAATCGGGACAACTCTCGATGACTTCCACAGTCATCGAGAGCTATATTTATTTGATAGCCACAGCTATATTTTAATTGATTGCTTGTACCTACGCATTCATGTGACACCTTGGTGTACTTATGAGCCTGTGTGAACATAAAATGTAGGATCTTACCTCGGGATGGTCCCTGAGCAGCAGACACCTCACTGGGGTCACACAGCCGTACGCAGGGGCGGCTCCGGAGGCGCCCGGCCGCAGGTCAGCCGGTCTGGAGACACGTGACCAGAGGCGACACTCGGCCTTACTGTGCCACCTGGGAGAGGTGCGTGATCTAAGAAACACGTGACTTTACCGGACCATGCGGATGCGGGCCTGCACAGCTTGCACTGAAATGTTGTCAATTCGTACTAATCCCATGCGAGTGAGCCTGTCAAATGAACCTGTGGCAGTTTGTGCTTACCTGTCGCAGTCTGGCCGACACAGACTCCATCGGCAGCCGGGACAGCTGATTGCCGGCGGCGTCAGCTGACCTCGGTCAAGGTCAAAGGTCAACGGCCGGTGACAGCCCAGGCAGACGGGGCCCGTGGCCTGTTTGGGCCCCACCACCAGAGGTGCCTCTCGCAGAATGACTTCACCTGGGTATGGAGAGGCGAGGAGGTGAAAAGAACTGTAAAAGCGAACAACTGACAGTGAAAAGCGATCAAAAAGAACGAACAACTCAACTGTTAAAGCTCATGGTTTATTTTCATTATTCAAATGACATCGGATTTCCACAATTATCCGTATAAATCAGTTCAGTCCATACCAGGCTGGATGGCTCTGGTGGCCACCATGTACCGTCCCAGTTCGTCGGTCTGTTTGACCGTCCACGGCCGACAGGAGGTCTTGTGCATTTTCCAGTGCTCTTTCTGATGTGGTCGACTACAGTAGTGCACCTGTAGGGGGGGGGGGGGTAGAAAGAACCATTTTCATGCTCTGGGTCTGTGTGCATTTGTTTGTCGTCTATGGCGAAGAGGCGTAATGAAGGGTGAGGTCTTTAATGTGTCTGCTGTCTGCAATGTTAATTTTACGATGTTTTCAATGGAGTGGATACGATAGCCTCATTTTTCTTTTAATTTTTTTTTATATCTTTGTACTTTTACATACTTGAGGCCAGTAATAAATATCATAAATTGAGCACACAGACATCTGAAGAGCCTCCGAAGTTCAAACATATGTATGTAAATCTGTTCGCATATGTATAGTCGACTACAGAATGATGTTCCACTCCTCAGAAGCTATCAGTTGACCGGAGCGCTAAGTTGTGCCGTTTATCACGCAATTAAGCATGTCGATTGTGAGCATTGGTACAAAGCATTTGGGAACTCAGCCCGTGTGATGCGGCACAGCCTACCACTCCAGGCAAATAATTGCCTGTGAAAAGTGGAACATCATTCTGTAGTCGACTATGCATATAAACATATGGACACATGTAGATGTCTCCTCGTTTGTCTGATTAGCAAGTATAGCTAGTGACATCAACATCCAGTGACGTCATCATTCAGTGACGTCATCATCCGGTCTGCTCACCTGTCTGCACGCAGCACAGGCCAGGCTGGAGGCGACGCCACATACAGGACAGCTGCTGGCCTCTGACGTCACAGCCGGCATGATGACGTCACTCTGTCGCAGCCAATCACACTTACTGACCTGCAGGAAGACATGAAAATGGTGTTTAAAAATAAATGCTGCTTGTGTGTGGTGTTTGGTAAAAAGTTCAGGTTCTTCTCCTAATATAATTTAACAATTGTGAGGTTGATTCAGTGGTAAAAAGGAGGCATCAGGGGTGTCGATTTTTCAAAATGGTTGGGGGTGCTCAACCCCTGCACCGGGTGAAAGAATGTAGCTTTGCCATGGGGCACAACCGTACCTACAAGGCATGGTCGTGTATCCCCATAAGGTACTGATAATCCCGGGATTTCCACTAATATTTCCCAAAGGTTGAACGTTCTTCAAAATCATTCTGCTCGTCCTAGTACTTGGCTACCTCATTACATAAACATCTTTCCGAAAAAAAAACGCGTACATTTGCCGGCAGCTCGGCAGCAGCCCCGACACCTCTGTAATAAGGTGACAGAAACCGATGACCGCGATTAGCACCGGTGCAGCAGCCCCTGCGGTCCGCAGGGGCGGACATTGCGCGGGAGGCAACGGTATAGCTACGAGGCTCTGGCGTTTATCAGACGATCACAATAATCGCTGAAAAAAATAACAGGTGATTGCAATTCGATATTTATGGGTTTACGATTTTCCTCAGTGGCGTAGCCAGGTGGGCCCGTGAGCCCCCCCCCCCTCCCGCCCCATCAGGTTCAGGGGCCCATCGGATTATTCGGGCCTGAGGGGCACTGCGGCGCCAATTGGCCACTGAGGGTCTACGTTGGCTATATTTGGACTCAGAAGGGCCCCACAGGGCTCGTAAGAACACCTCATGGGCCCAAAAGTACTAACATTAAGATCTCCATAAGGGCCCCAAGCCAGCCTCTGAGGGCCACTTGCCGGCCTCTGGGGGTCTTAACCGGCCTCTAGGGGGCCAGCTCTAGGAGCTGCACACCCGCCTGTAATGGCCCCACACCCATTTCTCTGAGGGCCCCTATAACGGCGACTGTGAGGGCCCTCACCGGCGCGGCGCCCCTGAGCGCCACACCGGCGTCTCTGAGGGCCCCACACCCCTAACTCTGAGGCCCTATACCAATGCCTTTAAAAACCCTACATGGGCGGTTCTGAGGGCCCTTGACAGTTACCAGCGACCCTGACGGCCCCACACAGGTGACACGGAGGGTCCCAGCGGCGTCTGAGCGCACCATGCCAGTCTCTGAGAACCCCACAAGGCTCCTGAAGGCACCGGTGACCTCTTGATATCTTCTTGTCGGCCTATGAAGGATCCGTTCCGTAACAGCAGTTCTGAGGGCCCAACGCGCGCCTGTGATGGCCCTAAACCAGTGTCTCTGAGAGCCCCCACACCGGCGCCTCCAGTCCGAGGGCCCCACATTGCCATATCTGAGCGCCCCACACTAGTGCCTCTTAAGGCCCTATATCGGCGGCTCTGAGGGCCCAACATCGTAGCTTCTGAAGGCCCCACAAGTGCGCATGTGACGGCCACCCTGCCACCGGTGACATTTGAAGGCCCCACACCGGCGACTCTGAGGGCCCCATCAGCGCCTGAGCCCGTTCCGGTCTCTAAAGATGACCCCACAGGGTTTCTGAGGGTACATACCACCGGCCTCTGATGACCCTTTGCCGGCCTCTGAGGGCCCGTCGCCGGTCTCTGGAGCCCCCTGCCGGCTTGTAAAGGGTACGCGCCAGCAGCTCTAAGGGTCCGACACCCGTGTACGACGGACCCACACCATCTTTGCAACTTAACGTTTTTTTTCGCCCTTCTTCTTAAATCTAAATTTTCTTTTCTTTACATCTTTATTTCATGCCTTGTAAGTTGCGTAATTGTTTTATTTTTAGTAGTGAACTACTGCAGAACAATTATTTTCCTCAAGCAGAGTTATTGAGGGACAAAACCATTGGGGGTGCCCGGAAAACCATTGGGGGTGCTCATTTGAGCATTGGGGGTGCTGCAGCACCCCCAAAGGTATACAAATCGACACCCATGGGAGGCATCGTTCAAATCAGGTCATCATGCAGCAAAAAAGAAAAAAAAAAGAAAACCGCAGTGGGTCCTCATCAAGTCATTTCACGGCATTCCAGCAAAACCGAAAATAAGAACAGGCATAACCTTTTGAACCGCGCTCAAAAATGGCAACGATCTTTTAAGCATCTTTTAAGCATCCCAAACCACTATGCAACATCAGCACCGGCTGGCCGCAGCCAGCAGCCGCACCGCGTCCCTCGTAGACTTTGCAGACCGTACCAGCTTGACCGGCTCCAACACCACGGACGTCATAGTGAAACAAAAGGAAGCAAAAAAGTAGACTTATAAGCCCGAAGTTATTTTTAAGTATATCATTGTAAGGCCTTGTTAAAGACTTGACTTGTGAATTCCCTGATTAGATATATGTCAATCGTTTTGTCCATGAACTATGCTCCCTATCATATTCCATGACGCACGCCACATCCGGGAGCCATCAGTCGATTACGGTGCATTAAATACCACCAATGAGCATCACATCGCATTTCAAGTGCCTCCCATGATTCATATCCTGCAATGAATATGTAACGATGACTGGTGCTTTTATAGGGGACCGATCAAAGCATTCTTATATGACGCAGATATATGTACTTAAGTGGCCCACAGGATTGAACAGGGTCCATATCAGTGGTCTGACCTTTTCTTTAGTATATATGTTTATTTACGACATATCTCACACGGTTAATCGACCAAACAGTCCTCACTCATACTCGACACATCAACGAACATCACTCACTTTCATTAAACAATCTCACAAATCGTCCCCAGCGTTTGTTGAAGTCAGGCCACTTGTGGTCTGACCATAGTTCATAAACATAAAAAATCGGGGTCCTATTGCAAAGCAAATGTAAAACCACTGCGCTTCTCGATCCAACAGGAGAAGGGGGATAAAGTTTTGGAGGAAGTCTGGGCAGCATCTATCTCATTAGTTCTTGCTTGCCTTTGTTAAAAGATAGAAACAGACATTGTTAGTTGTACAATGTATGTACATTCCATCGCAATGAATGAATAACTTGGCACATCAACCCTCGTCCGTATTGGTGGTTTGCCATCCACGAACGTATAACGTGGGGGGTGGGGTTGGGGTGGGGGAGGGGGTTAGGGGGGTCCAACGGAACCCCCTTGCCGTTTGGCCCCTGGTTGAGCAAGAGCTTCGCGGAGAGAACGAGCGCGTTGCCCGTGACGAGAGGAAGCCGATGATACCCAATTTTAAGGTCCTAGGTCATCGGTTGACCTTCCAGGTCAGGTCAATGACCCAAAAGTCGGGAAAATCGGGAACTGTTAGAAGGTCGTAAGGTGTGGCTGCTATGGAGTTTTTCTGGGTGCTGATCACAAATATCGTATTCGTTTTGATCACAGATGATGTCTTGAAGTATTTAGACCAGGTCGGGTCAGGTCAGGTCAGGTCAACCAGTAGGGGTCGTGACGGGTATTCGTAGTACGTGCCAACCGCCTCTGACAGGTTCGTTATTCGCGAAAACCGAGGGACCGTCCCCCCATACGGGCTAGGGTTAACCCTCGTCGGCCAAGGGGCGGGGGGCTGGTGCCGCACCACCTAATTTTTTTTTCGCGATAGCTCCGAACACGCTGGCGATAGAGAGCTGAAACTTGGCATACCGGACCTCTGATTCAAGCCAAATCTTTTGACACCAACTGCATTTTTGTGTCAGGTCAGGTCACTGACCTATGACGTCATAAGTGAACCTCTGCACGGTCTTCAGATGTCGCAACTTCGTGACGCCCTCACTGCCAGAGGAGATGTCACAGGGAAATGAACTTGCAGGATCTAGTATCCATTATGAATCTCACAACTTGTATATCTCGGATTTTTCCTAAAGGTCATATGAGGTCTGGTCATTTTCGTGACCTCACCATTATAAGTCAATGGGGAAAAATGAAAACTGCTATTCTCGCCGGGAACGATCTCCAACTATCTCAAGCACACAGAATCGTGATTTGATGCACTCCTTGCAAGGTTAGATGCGTCACTTTTGCAATGTTGACCTTATGACGTCACACAAGCGACCGCCGGCGACGGGGCGGCGGTCGGGCGAACTTCTGACTGAGCGTATGTTCGAAGTATGAGAGATGATGAATGTGTTCAGGCGTGTACGTATGTATGGATGAATGTACGTATGTGTGTAAGTATGTTTGTATGTTTGTATGTAGGTGTATGTATGTATGTATGTGTATGTATGTATGTATGTGTATGTATGTAAGTATGCATGTATGTGTGTCTGCGCTTGTATTATACATATTTCCGGTGCACTACATCATGAGAGTTGGCACCGAGATTTAAGCCCTTTGGCTTTTGTGCCTCCTCTTATTTTGCTATATATTATGCGTTTAATTTGTATTACCAATAAACAGTTGGAATGGAATGGAATGGAATCAAGGTCATATTACTTTTTCGTTAAAGGGACTATCCCACCTTCTAAAATGTTGTTAATACCAGTTAAATTGTGCCCGACTTTATAGATTGGATGACCAGGAACACGGTTCTGGCATTTATTTTTCATTAAACATCTTAGGCTTCCCATATTCCAAACACAAACTTTCAAATATGTGACGTCACAGCCCAAAATTACCTCCTTCCCCAGGCCACATTACTGCCATAAAGCTGATTCTTTTTACTCTGTAGGCACCACAACAAAGTTCAGACCAAGTTTTAAGCGATTTTTCAACGAACAAACCCATTTAAATCAGAATGACTAAACGAGGTGACGTCACACTAACGGTCGCTCCATGTTGAAGATAGGGCCTTGTGCAAGACCCATTTTCAAATGAAGGGAACGAATTTCTTCAACACCAAGAGGCCGCGGGGGTTGCAACCTAGATAGATAGTGGTTTCTGAACCTCGCCGCAAACTTGGCTTTCTCAACTCAAACCCCATGTTAAAGGTGGGATAGTCCCTTTAATAACTCCCGATCAAATTGAGCTAGCGAGTCGGGAAAGCCACCAATGGACTCAGGAAGACCTGCCGAATCGAATGATATGTGACATGACCTCTTTC